CAGCTGGTTAATCAAATGAATAGGATTTTTAAAAATAGTATTATTCCCTGGTGCTGTGCCTTCTGAAAGCAGCAACACAATTGGGATCTATGCAGAACAAGGCAACAGAAGGAAGGAGGGGTTTCAGAAGCTCTCTAATGCTCAAACTGAGGAGGAGGAGTGGACATGGGTGACCCTCTTCATAATGTTCCTGCACATTGGACATGCATAGTCAATGTGTGCACCCCTGCCAGTTTGAGCTCTCGTGTTCTTTTTTGAATGCCTGAAGAAGGCTGGAATCTTCCAAGCTGCAGTATTGAGATCTGCTTTTAAAAGCAGAAAGCCAGGGCACACCTGATTAACCTAAAGTGTGCCTGGATGGCTCATTCAGATTAATTTGTGGGAAAGCTCCCCATAGCCCGTAATCTAGGGTGGACCCTCCATTAAAATCCAGAACTAGCAGCTCAGAGAATGCTGGTGCAAACAAACACTGGGAGGGATGGCTATGTTGGTGAGAGATACAACTATGCAGGAAGCCGAAACCTGTCATTAATCACAGATTTCAGTTTCCCAAGAATCTCAACCTTCTTCTTCTTCTTCTAGTCCTGCAAATATAAGCTTGAAAGTGTAATAGGAATTTTATGCTCTTAAATATATGATAATGTTCATAAGTGTACCAACCAAGCACATACATAGATCAGCACAGGAAGGCCAACCTGGAACCATTTTGATTCCTAAACTGAGCAAATGTTTTCTCTGCAAGGTCAAACTGGAAAAGCCTCCCCATTGTCTTTTCCTTCACAAATCCTGTCTTAAGGGTATGTCTCGTGTTTGAATAGGGTGTGAGCCTGTGACCTGGCTCAGGAACTATGTATTTATCATTACAAAAGACTGGCCAGGCTACCCAGGAAATCCAATCAAGTAACTTGCCAGACAGGAGATAAACAAAAACAGGAGAAAAACAATATTAAAATTTCTATTTTGGACCGCCTTTTCTGTGATGTATCTGAGGGGTGGTCTTAGGTTACACCCCTTCTGTGATGTATGTATGATGTTTCTGGGGGTGGTCTTGATCTACAGGGTGGCAATTTCAAAAGTCTTTATAAGGCCTTGCACACCATTTTTCTGGGTCCTTCCTCTCTCCTGCAAGTGAGGGGAGCACCCTGTTGCAACAGTTCAATAAAGGCCAAGCCTACAAGGCTGCTGTTTTGCTCCAAGTAATCCTGGTTGGTGTCTTTGTTTTTGTCCAAGGGAGCCCTCAGATTTTTCCGTTAACAAAAGCATGTGGTTTTTATCGGGTGAAATCACAGGAGGCACAGGGATTTCCAGCAACTGAGAGCTACAGAAATCAGCAATTGTTGTGTGCAGAATTTCTATTATTCATTAACTAACTGTTGATAGTGGAGCCCCTCTGAAGGCCAATAGAGCTCCACTCACCTTTCCTTCCAAACTGCAGCCATCGTTTCTCCACTGGACACAATGCAACTGGTTTTTCACCTCCTCAGGTGAGAAGAAGAGGGGCGAGGCTGTGTTGCCCAAAAACTGGATGGGGCTTGCTGGGATGCGGCCAATGAGGGTTGTGCAGCCATACCCTCCAACCATCTCTATTTTCGGGGGACATTCCCAGAATTACAGAAGCCACCCGGACTTCTGATTTGATCCTGCAATGTCCCGGGGATACGCTTGCAGTAATGCTTCGCACGAGTCAGCTGACTTGTGTGACAGTGTGGCATCAAAAGATGTGCATACCGCTTTTCATGAGGGGAATGATGGAGGGCATGTGTGAAGCCAGCCCAGCCCACAAGGCTCCATCTTGTGCAGAGCTTTGGCTGGTAACCTATTGAGGGCAGCACCAACCCAGCCCCTTTGCTGGCTGGCTAAGAATGACCAGAATCTTGAGGGACTATGACTGAACGATAAATGATTGGGGGGGGGAGAGAACATTTCAGGGGGCTGCGGCACAGGGCTGGTAGTTCTGCAGTACCTCAAATAACTCTCATGTGCTGAAATCTGCAGGGGTAGTTCCTCTGCCCTCGTAGGCAGGGTGGGTGGTCTCCTGGGAAAGGCACTTCTCTGTGGTGGCTCCTAAGCTGTGGAACTCCCTCCCTGCAGAGTTGTGCCCAACACCTTCATGGTACAGCTCTGGAAGAAGCTGAAGCTGCACTTCTTTACCCTGGCTTTTGACACTTGAGGTGTATGTTTTTAGGATGCACCTTATTTTGATGGTTGTAAATTGCTTTAAATTGCTTTTAACATTGTGTTTTAATACTGTAACATACTCTGGGACCTTAGGGTGAAGAGCAGGTAATGAATAAATTAAAAATAATATTATTAACTACTAAAGAGCATAGAAAGAGCCCTGCTGGATAAGATTGATGGTTTACAGGGCCTTTTTGATTGCGGTTCCCAGGTTGTGGGATGCCCTCCATAGCGAGGTGCACCGGCCCCCATCATTATTAATTTTCAGGAGGGCTGTGGAGAAAGTAGGTTTTTTTGTTTGTTACAGCTTGAAACAAACAGATGACAAGCAACAAAAAAAAGGAAAAGTAGAAGAAATGTCTATTTGCCCAAATGACGCTTCGTATGACCAGGAAATACAAAATTCTCCTTTAAATATATTGATTGTACATAGTGTTTACAAACTCCTTCTGTTTATTAGTTTTAAGTTGTCTTGATCCCCCCCCCTTTACATTACTGGAAATGCCTCCATTTGGACTAAACTTAAAACGCCTTGTCTGTACATGTTTGGCAAAGAAATAAAACAGTTTACTGAAAGAACACACTGGAGTGACAAATAATTCATCGGAAGTGACTCGCTTCACATTGTCGTGTAGTCATAAGCAATGATCAAAAACGTTTCGTGTTAAAATATTAACAGAATACCCACAAAGATGTATTAATAACTCGGAGCTCTGAACGTTCTGCCATTGCTCTTGCCAAACATGCTGTAAAGCTGTCAACAAACATGGATGCTGTTTACGCAGCCAATTAACTCCCGCCGTTTCTGGCTTAAAGCTGATTTTCCCAAGATGCCCAGCAAAATGTTTCCTTTTCCTTTAACTTAAGATGAGGGGAATGGGGAAGAGTGATGCTCTTGCCCAAGATTGCTACGCAGGAGTAACATGGTCAGGCTAGGTGGGTGAGTGGGAAGTCAGTGGCACACCTTGGCAGCTGGACCACTGAGAAGAACCCCACTGCCAACCTGGTTCTGCTCCTTTTCTTCACCCCTGCAACCTACTTGCTTGTTCACCTGCCTCTCGCTCTGGCTCCGATAAGGCTTGGCGCTGGGAGGGAGGAGTGGAGACCACACCCTGCCCTGTTCACTAGCTCTCTGCCCAGCCAGAAAGCTGGCAGTAGCAATGAGCAAAAGGAGGGGCAGCAATGGAGAATGATCATGGCAGTGAGGAGGCAGACCTTGTTGAGGGAAGGGCGTCCGTGGAGGGTGTCTTCCCCAAAGACCCTCCCGAGACAGGAGCTGGCTATGATTCTGTGCATATGGAGAAAGCAGTGTCCAACATCCACCACACCATTGCGAGGGACCGTTCCTCTCGAACAATACAGCACATCACTGGTACTCCTAACAGTGCTGCCACCCAAAGTGCTCATACGAGGTGCTCATTCTGTTGCAACAGCTTGAAGAACAGGACCTAGGGAAGCGGAGGTGGGGTGGGGGGTGGAATACCTGTTTTTCGGACCTCGTGCTCAGCAAAAAAGGCATCCAATCTGCATGGTTCCAAGTCAGATTCAATTACTCTTTGTTTGCCTTCAAACTCTGATGCCCCTGCTCTCTGAGCACCAGTTGGGTTAGAGATGCAGCCTGGCGGTTCTCTTTGTTTAGTAGGGCGCAGTCTGCTGCGGTGTAACAACGGAGAGGAAGAAAAGGACGGGGGCAGCTGCCACTGATATTGCTGTTCTAAAATGCACAATATATATATTTTTTAAAAAATCACATGCAACTGAAACAAACTTCAATTCGGCAACCTGAAATCTCTAAGTGAAAAAAGACGTCCCAATGTTAAGTTTTCTTTTCTAGGGAGGGCCTCCGTCTCCCAGCGCAGTGATTGCTTCCACATGGCGTCCCCCCCTTTTAAACTGCTGTTTTGCAAGTAAGTGCCATGATGTCATGGCTCAAACTTTTCCATCGGCTGGAACCATTTATGGTGCCACCTTCCCCAAACTGAACAAGTAACTGAAGCTGATTCATGGAAATACTTTTTTAAAAAAAACACCCCCCAAAAACCCTGCGGACATCAAAATGAAATAAAGTAGGGCTGCAAATATTTTGAAAGGGCCTTCTGAGAAAAGTATGAAGGCTTGGGGCCACTTCACACATGACGTTTTACCTAAATGGTGAGAAAGGGAAGGTATCGCATGACGAGGTTGGATGCGCATCTCATGTTGGGAGCTGTAATTGGGAGCAGATTCTCAGCGCTTGTACACCCAGAAAAACAGATCTTCACACATGGTCATACGTATCTTCCCTGTTGCATTTATAAGCAAATACAGAGCTAAGATTCTGCAAGATTCTGATTGATCCCATGCCTGTTTGGGAGATCATATGGAGCTGGCCTAAGTGACCAAATAAAGTATGGTATGGGCCTCTTGGCTAAACTTGGGCAGGTTATGATTTTCCAGCCTTAGTTCTGCTTCTGGCTCAGCCGACAGGATCCATCTCACTTGGTCTCTCTCTCCCACGCCCCCCCCAATCATACTTCCATACTTCATCTTTTTTTTTACTGCTGCCTCAACATTTTCACAGGAGTTTGTGCCCAGGACTTGAATGGAATATAGTGCAACAGTTCTGACTCCCCACCACCATCACCGCTGTACAAATTGCATACTAGTCTTGACAGAAAGTCACCTGTAGATGCAAAGAAAGTTCCTCAATGAAAACCCTCACTTATTCAGTAAGGATTGTTCAGACAAATTTCTGTCGGCCTAAAGCTTTTTGTGGACCAGAGTCCACTTTATTAGATGCATGGGGTATTACCTTGAGTCTGAAGTGGACTCTGGTCCACTACGCCACTGTGGTGTAGTGGTTAGAATGCTGGGTTAGGATCTGGGAGTCCAGGGTTCAAATCCTCAGACTGGCACAAGACCACTGGGTGACTTGGTCTGACCTCACAGGGCTGTTGTGATAAAAATGGGGAGGGGGAGATGCTTATTGGAAAAGTGGGACACAAATGTAATAACTAAATCAACAACAGCTCATACCATCTTTAAGATGCCACAGGACTCTCTGTTGTTGTTTTGCCGCAAGGGCTACCTCTGGAAGTTTTGAGTACATATCCTTTTATTTTAAGAAAACCCCAATGTCCCAAATTTCTGTGTTGAGAGACATAAATCATGTAGCTTCTGCAACTTTTTAGTTTCCCAAACAGGATACATTCTTTAGATTGTATACTGGGGGAAAAATCCTCGAATTGAGGAACCTGCCATTAAAAAATGAACAAATGTAATTTTCTGGGGAAAGGGTTACTGACAGTTGAAGCTTTCCTCAGTCTGGTACGAAGACAGAGGGGATGATTCCCCAGATTCTCTTACTCAAGCATCACTGGAAATGAACAGGGAATGTGCAACAGCAGTTACTCTTCTCGTTTCCAGTGAGGGAAACTTTCAGCGGATGGTTCCGAGGTGAAAGAAGCTGAACTGGTTTGCTGACAAATGTGTAAAAGTAAAATAAGATTTCTGCATATTTGATCTTTGACTTTATAGGAATGTCTGTGACATAATAAACAGCAAAGAAATTGTTTATAAACTCACAGAATGATCTTCAGTTTTGCAAAAATCTTGAGGTAAGGGCAAGGGAAGTTATACAATATTAAGTGTATACAGTACTATACAATTCAACAGGCATCTTACATACAAAAATGATGGCCTTAGGACGTAGTCTTTTTTTTTATTCAGAGTGCCATAAAAGTAGAAAAGATGTTAATTAAATGCATTTTACAGTGGCAGGTTTCTCTGCAGGTGCAGCAATTGTTCTGCATAGGTAACGTAGACCAATAATAGCTTTTGGGGAGATTTGGAAAAAAGAGATGACTGGATCTGGAGACTCAACTTTAGCTGCATCAATAAGACTTGGTGCTCAGAATACCCACCTACAGTTGTCAACTGACCTACCCCACTCCCACCCCCAGGTCTGTTCTGTTCTTGTGTCTTTTAATAACAACTGGATCCACAGAAGTTAGCAGGTGAGGCTTTTCACAGGATGGAGATAGAGAGATTGATATTATAACTACTGCTCTTAAAAGTGCAGCAACAAGGTTGGCTACCCAACGTTGCACAAAGAACTGGCACCTCCTTGCTGCAGTTCTGTAGAAACATCCCTGAAATCAACAGGAGGGAGTTATCCAAGAGTTCAGCTGAACTCTGGAGCAATGCCTGTTTATTCCAGTGAGTCCTGAGTAGGTTCCTGGTAGCTTGTTACAACATATCCTTCAACTTCCAAGGACAGAATCATATCAGGGGTGTATCAAATATTAATACTCTTCAGAGTACAGTGGTACCTCTGGTTACAAAAGCTTCGGGTTACAATAAGGTTACCAGATTTTTTTCAATGAATCCGGGGACACTTTTCAACTTCAATGGATTTTGTATGCGGACTGATTTGTAAATCCGGGACTGTCCCTGGGAAACGGGGACGTCTGGTAACCTTACGTTACGAATTCCGCTAACCCGGAAGTTGCGAACTTTGCCCCAGGATGTGAATGAAAATCATGCACCAGAGGAGCACGAGCAGCGGGAGGCCCCATTAGCGAAAGCGCACCTCAGGATAAGAACGGTTTCAGCTTAAGAACAGACCTCCGGAACGAATGAAGCTCATAACTAGAGGTAGAACTGTAGACTCATTGAAATTGATTGACATGACTAACTTAGGCTCATCAGCGAGTAAAATTTGGTTGACCACAGCCCTCTCTACTGCATCAGAACACCTTTTTTTCTATGCATATTACAGAAAAGATGTAATTTGATATTTGTGACTTATGAGTACTTTTGTATTTTCTTCTGAATGGAATCAGCGTATCATGGGCAGGGTACATCTGTGCTACAAGCTGCAAAAGGTTAAATGGCTGCTTCCTCTCAGCAGGTAATCCTGGGATCTGTAGTTCTGGGAAGGGAAGAGGTTAGGGGGCCTTGAGCAGGCAATTCTCAGTCCCCAATTCACTCTAGGGCCACATTTGCAGCATAGATTTAAAGCACTGTGATACCACTTTAAACAATCATGAATTCCGAGAGTTGTAATTTGGTAAGGGTGGCTAAGAGTTGTTAGACCCCTATTCCCCTCAGAAAGTTACAGTTCCCAGAGTGGCTTAAACATCCGTCCATCCATCTTCACAGGGAACTCCCAGAATTGTAGCTCTGAGAGGGGAATAGGGGTCTCCCTGCAACTCTCAGCACCCTTAACAAACCAAAGCTCCCATAATTATTTGGGGGAAGCCGTGATGGTTTAAAGTAGCATCATACTGCTTTGAACATGTGGTTCGAATGTGGCCTATGAACAATGTCACTTGCTGTGCAATCCTAAAGCGTATGGATGAGGTGCCAAGGTGGTTCCACCACCTTATCCAATGCTCTGCCAGGTTCAAGCAGAAAAATGCTTCACATTGCTGTCTTCATCTTTCACCCTTCCTCCCATAAGTCAAGAGTGTGACTAAATATCTCTATAACCTTATGGGACTGGGAGGGCTTTGGACCCAGCCACCCTCCTGTTGTCTGCTGACACTGGAGCTCCTGTAATGTTTCCATGGGTGTTGCAATTCCAATTACTTTTTTTAGTTAATCTGCCAGTGCAACACCAATCCTGCCATTATAGAGCCCTGTGCAATCAGGATACGATCAATAGGATCACAGCTGTGGGATCCGCCTGCTGTCTTTTAAATTAAGCCTTTGCAGGATATACAGTCCTCATGAGCCACAATCAGTGAGTGGAAGTCAGGGGTGGGGCCAATGGGTGTGATTCTGCTTTCCTCACCCACATGTTGATTGCACATTCATTTGTCATGCTTCTGTCATCAGATCTGCAAAGCTGAAATGCAATTTCTGCTGAGTGATGGAAAGCTAACATCTTCTGAACCTGGAGTCCCAAACAACATTAATAACATTAGTTTTTAAAACATTTATTACAATGCAGGAACAGAAAAGCTGTGCTCCCTTGCAAACTGTTTTTGGACTCCAGCCCCATGAGCCCCAGCCAGTATAGCCAACATCAGGGATGCTGGGAGCTGAAGTCCAACGACATTTGGAGGTTACTAGGTTCCCCATCCTTTGGGTAACAACTCCCATCAACATTGCTGGATGGTTGGCATCTGAAGGGTACCACATTGGTGAAGACTGCTGCAATGCATCACACAGAGAAATGAGCTCATGAGACAATGGTCTGATTCAATCAGGCAGAAAAGGTGTTCTGTTTGTGTCCTATATATTCTCAAAGCAACAATAACATTGGGTTTTAAGTGAGGAAAGAAAGGTTGTAGCAGCTGCATGGCCCATTTCCACTTTCTGGATGACCCCCAAACTTAAAATCTGAGATGAATGAAAGAACGCCACAACCTTAACTCAAGTTCCATGGCAGTGCCTGTTTAATGCTGAACAATCTTATTTAGGAACTTGCTTTGAGTCTCCATTTCCGATTTCTTTTTGCAAATGTTTTGCTGCAATTCAATCTCGTCAGTTGTGGGCAGACAAGGCAGCAAACGTCAAACCATTGCATTTATCTCAAAGGTGGGTTGTGCGGGACTGAAAAGAATTTGCAAAGAGTTCATTCAGCACCAGAAGAATACAAATTGGTCCCTGTTTGGGGTGGCTTCTGTACACAGACAACTGGAAGCGTCGTAGAAAAATAAGCCATTTGATACAATGCGCAAAGGCAACCACAGAAGGGTAACGGGGGTGGACAAATGGCGATGCAAAAGCCTGTAAGACAGGAGAGGACATGGGATTCATCGGGGGCAGGGGGGTGGGGAAGACACTTGGCACGATACCGTCTCCCTTTGGGCAGCTCCCATGTCCTTGATCCCACCAAGGGAGGAGGAGGAGAAGGTCCCTCAGAAAGTCAGATGGTGCACTCCTTCAATGGGCATGTTCGAATTGCGTTAAATTGGTCCTTCTACCAAAGTCCAATCAAAGAACAGTTCTTCACTGAAGCTTTGTCTCCATTCCGCACGCTTTCCTGCCGAGAGGACAATCCCACAAAACTTCACGATGCTGGGCATGCCGCCCAGCAGTTGACTAATAAAACAAATGAAATTATCATTATCATTATCATTATTATTTTGTATGCTGTCTTTTTGCTTCCAGATAAAGAGTTCATGGCTGGCAATGGTGACAGGTAGTTTCAGAGAGATACCACTCGGGCAACGTCGCCCAGGTTAATACTGTCTTGCAAATCCTTAGTGTTTCCACACGAGACTATTAAAAACACTTCTACGTTCACAAAGGAAGGGGGGAAAGGGGGTGTCTTTAGTCCAGGGGCTCTTGCTTTATCCTGATTGTGGTGTTGGGCTGCAGTCTCCTGTCCTCACGACATAGTACATATTCGCTGAACTGAGAAGAATCCACGCCTCCTCCGCAGGACGCCGCCACGTTGAAGCCCTTCTGGAACAACCGTTCAAGCACCTGAGGGGGAAAGCACCAGTTAATATTGGAGAAGGCTCCGTATCAAATGTGCTCATGACTCTGAAAGGACCAAAGGAATCCTACTGAACTGAACTGAAAGTACGAGTCCTATATCCACCCATGGGAGCCAGGACACGCAATGCGGTTAATGGGCGACAGTGCAAAGGTTACGCACAGTTACGGTGGTACCTCGGGTTACAGACCCTTCAGGTTAGAGACTCCGCTAACCCAAAAATAGTACCTCGGGTTAAGAACTTTGCTTCAGGATGAGAACAGAAATCACATGGTGGCAGCGGGAAGCCCCATTAGCTAAAGTGGTGCTTCAGGTTAAGAACAGTTTCAGGTTAAGAATGGACCTCCAGAACGAATTAAGTTCTTAACCCGAGGTACCACTGTATTTCTTTGCTGAAGTCTCTGTGCAGCCCCACATATAGGACTCCGCACGTGTCAACTAGGGGTGCATTTCAGGCATGGGGAACATTGCATTCGTTTTCCTGATTAATATTCTAGTGCTTCGGTCCTGTGGTCCTTTCACACCGCAGTACTTGGTGTGTTTTGAAATTGTGAATTGTGTTATGATTATTATTTTTTTACCGATACACCAGCATGTTGAGCTAAATTTCATTCACATCAGTGGGCGTGGGGGGCACAACAGCAAACCACATTGGACAATGTTGCTGCTCCTCCAACTCTTTCCACACAGCCGTGTGCTTCTCTTCCCCCATTAAAGCAGCAGGGAGGAAAACTGTATGCCGCTATACGGCCCTAAATTTCATCACTTTACTCCCATGATATTCTGGGTTAAAGGGCCTCCAAGCATATAATTTTTTTTAAGGAATCAAGTAACATGGAAATGAGTGCTAAGCTTGTATTGCTGTGTGAAAGTGCAAATATAATTCAGAAATTAACGGTTAGGGAAACTATGAGGAAATGGTATAAACTGCCATGTGAATGCAGCCTTAGACTCTGAAAACAGAAAATGGCCAGCCAGCCCAAGGCAAACAGCTGCGATGGCTGAGGCTGATGGGAATTGTAGCCTAAAAGATCCAGGGGGCACCAGGTTGGCAAAGCCTGCTTTAGAGAGCTAGTGACAGTCACAACCAATATTAAATAAGATGGACCAGCAGTCTGACTCCGGGTAAGGATCAAAGCAGAGATGACATAAGGGTGATATAACGAACACTCTTTTTCTTTCCCCAAAAACAGCAGCCTTGGGTGGGGGATTAGATCAGGGGTGCAGCAAGTCCAAAAAGGGGGTTTCTTGCTGCACTGTGGCCCTGATCAAAATTGCCCTGGGTGCTCCCTCTAGACGAGATGGGGCAGTTCACACATTGAAGAGAAGAAGCCTGTGGTTAATAGCAGTTTTGGGGAAGGGTTGAGTTAAGTTGGATGCAACACTCTGTGCAGCTGCTTTTTGAAAGCTCCATGTTTGGAGCTTCCACATCACATCTAATTTCACCCTTAGGAAAGCCCCACATTATACAGTAAAGTTGTCACTGGAGTAAAATGTTAGACGAAGGCGATTTGTAGCTCAACTTTCCCCCTGTGGCTAAAGGTTTGTATTATTACCTAACTTTGAAGAAATTACCTGAATTTCTTCCAAATGCTGTCACTGGCTACAGACTCACAATCTAAGAGACTCGACATAAAAGGAAATAGGAATGGGGTGGGAGGAGGAAAGCAGCCTTGGAGCTCCACTGGCTAATGGGTGGGGCCAGGTTGATCTCCCCATGGCCTTCTACGCACAATGTTTCCTTGTCCAGCCAGACGACAACCCTGTGAAACAGGCCAACTTTAGGAGGAAAGTGATGCTCAGGGATGGAGTCTGACTTATAAATTGCTATCCATTTTGTCCACAGCTGAAGACACACTTGAGTTCATGCCTTCTGTATCCAGCCCTACTCACTGGCTTTCCTTTTTCAAAGCCATCTCAGCTTCCTGCAGATGGACGCTATCTGGACGCTATTTCATTTGTGCGTGTTGCCCTGCAAAGTATTTTGGTCTCGTGGTCCAGAGGTGGTGAAAAGGGCCCCCGAGAGCCAGCTAGACTCTGCATGATACATTTCTGGTCTTTTCAGGATCTCCCAGCATATTATGCAGCGATAATTCTATAACTTATTCCTAAATGACTGCAGTGTGATTAAAGTCTTGCTTACAGCAAACCTCTGCAGAAAAACCCAAATATTAATCAAACAAACAAGCACTCTGCAGGGCAGTTCAGTACATTATGGAGTAAAATACTGGCTGGTAGTGATATTGATGCTACCTCTTAAGGAAAAGCAACGTTGGGGCTTCAGTCATCATAAAATGAGGCCATAACTCATCATTAATATGCTGTGCTAGATGGGGGGAGAAAAAGCAGCAGGCTGTTATGAGCATCTTCTTTACTGGTGTAATTGTTCTGGCCGCTAAGGGATTTTCCTACCAAACAGGTTGGGGTATTCAGGGTGTATGTGTGCTGTTAATGTGCCTGTGTTTATATTCCTGCCTGTGCCCTTCAGCCACCTAAAGTCCTCACCGCTAATCTCAACTGGGCAGCCAGTCAGAATGGCTGCTCAGCACTCCACCTCTGGGATGCCACCTGGTTTGTGATATCAACCTGAGCTTTGAAGGGGTTCAAGGACACCTCCATGGCCCAGCAGAACTGCAAGGTCCTACTTGCCTCCAAACCGGGTGTTTCCCCCCTGCATCCATGAGAAGAGCCTGCTGGATCAGGCCAAAGGCCCATCTAGTTCAGGATCCTGTTCTCACAGTGGCCAAGCAGGTGCCCCATTGGAAATCCCACAAACAGAACCCCAGCACAAGAGCCCTCTCCCCTCTTGTGGTCCCCAGTGACTGGTATTCAAAAACATTTCTGCCTCTGACCATGGAGGCAGTAGATATCAATCGTGGCTAGTAGATATCAATAGCCCTCTCCTCCATGGATTCATCTAACCCTCTTTTGGTGGCCATTGCTCCCTCCAGTGGGTCCCATCGTTAAACTATGCACTGAATGAAGAAATATAATACGAAGCGCAAATGTCACTGTTTCAAAGGACAGCCAAGCAAGATGAACATTCTCTGACAGTAAAATGCTACAACAGGCTTATAAACAAATGCTTGGTTCAACAACTTAAGAACAAAGGAGGCAATTCAGTTACTCCAGAATACAAAATTCATAAGCAACGTAGCGACACATGACAAGGGGATTATCAAATAATACAAGCTGTCGTTGTGTCAAAAGCGATACACCTCATTCCATGCCTCCCCAACTAATATACTAAAGCAGTATATATACTGCTTAGTATATTTAGCCAATATACTAAAGCAGGAAGGCTGGGAACCTTATTGCAGTTGAGGGCTGGGCAATGAAAAGTGACTGCTTGCAAGTTTCCAACAGGCATCTGGCTGACCGCTGAGGGAACAGGGTGCTGGATTAGATTGGCCATTGGCCTGATCCAGCAGGACTCTTCTTAAATTCATAGGTTCAGTGCTCTCCCCAGAATCCTAGACCTACCGAATCCCCTTACAGAGCACAGATTATATGGTTTGCTTGAGGTGATTATAAATATTTCGGTGAACTCCTCCATCCTTTCCTTTCTTCCTCCTGCTTTCAATTCCAAAGTCTCCTTTTCACTTTCTTTTGGTAGGCAACAGACAGGCCTCCTTTCCGCCAGCCACCTGGACTTCCCAAGTCATGCAAGGCAAAGCTGAGCTTTGATCTCTTCTCATGGCTTCTCTTGAACCCTGTGAGCATTGACTGGCCCTGGGACAGGCGCACTGTCTTGGTGTTCGAGGAGGCAAACATCAGCCTCGTTCCCCTGACTTCTGCCCTGATCTTGTATCACTTCGCAATGCAAGAACGTGAAAGGACCCGAGGGAGAACGAGCAAAAGGCCTAGAAAGAAAAAATACCCTTTTTTGGGTAAAGATAAAAAAAAAAATGAAAGGAGGGGTGGGGGGAAGAGATAACAGTGCACCTGTTTAAAGCACCTGGAATGATCATCACACAGTTTTGGAGAAAATTAGACGTGGCCCACCTTACTACTTGGTACATGCTGGAAAAACTAATGAATAAGCTGAGAGTCCTTAGATGTGAAAGAAGGAAGAATGATTCCGTAACTGTTTGGTCTGATTTTATTTCATTTGTAAGCAAGAAGAAACATGGTTGAGGACCTCCCCCAACCCCACCGTGGCCTAGGAATGAATCTGGTTGATTCAGCAACTCAGGGCATTTGAATACTTTAATTCATGTTTTGTGACCACAGACAGACAGATATGCTTCTGAATACTAGCTGCTGCAAACCACAGGAGTGGACAGTGCTCTTCTGATTGGGTCCTGCTTGTGGGTTTCCCAGAAGAAGCATCTGGTTGGGCAATGTGAGAACAGGATGCTCAACTGCAGGGGCCTCTTCTTATGTGCCCTTCCCTTGCCACACTTTTAGGCTGCAAGCAACCCAGAGCACGCTTCCCCTTGACGCATGTTTCACTGAAATCAATGGGAGCAATTTCCAAGTTCACAGTGTTCAGAACTGAGACGTCTCCCGTTGTTTCTCTGGGGCTAAACATCTCCAATTCTGCCAGTCTTCCCTCCCGGAAACTGCCTTCAAGACAGATCCCTTTAGAATCATTCTCATAGCTCTCCTCTCCCAATTTGTTCAAAGCCTTCTTGAAGTGTGCTGCTACCCAGAAGGAAACACTCTAAAAGAGATCATCTCTGTGGCGAGCCGAGCATGATTTCCCAAGTTTTAGAAACAGAACATCTCTTGTCATAAACTGGGGGAGGCCTTGGCCTTTTCAACCACAGTGTTATATGGCTGAATTTGCTATCTGTTGTAACGATGCTTTTGGTCATTATGTTTTTGCAAGGAAAAATGGCATTTCTGGTATCTGTGATTTTAAAAGAAAACCTACAATGGGAGGGACGCATGTTGCACCAAAAAATAAAAAGGGTCCTTTCCAGCCATTAACATTAGCAATGTTCAGGACTGTAAGTCATGAATTAGCAACAAAAATGTGAAGCCCTGACCCCATAATTCTTAAGAGCCAGTGTAGTATAGTGGTTAGAATCTCAGACTAGGACCTGGGGTTTAAATTCCTACTCAGTCACTGGATGATTTTGGACCAGTCACTGCCTCTCAGCATAGCTCACCTCAGTGTTGTTGTGCAGATTAAATGAAGAGAGCAAGAATTGTGTACGTCACCTTGCGCTCCTTGGAGAAAGAGGTGGAAAATAAAACCCTACAGGTTAAGTCTTTTCTAGCATGGAAATACAATTTCTCTGGTTTTGTGTTATGCCATGTCCCCCACGGCAGCCATTTTGTGACTGGCGCCTAGAGCACTCTTTCAAAATGTCCCCCTGGTCTAAAACCTGGACCGACCTTTGCTGTGGTAAGTTTACCTCATCAACCTTGTCGCAAAACTTGTTGGTTTTATTCATTTACTTAAAAGCACTTCTATTTTCTGTTATAAAAAATACGTAAAAATAGGAATTCACAAATAACAAGGTTGAATCTCATTGGCCAGGGAAAGTCTGTGCCAAGAGATATGTCTTCACATGATGTGGGACACAACTGATGGACGCTGCCTCCATCAGAAGGAAGGGCATCCTACAGGGAAGGGCAAATGGCAGAAAATGCCTGCTTTCTAGTTCACTGCGCTGCAATGTTCTGTAAGGCGTGCCTGCCACTTTGCCACTGAAAATAGTCTTTGAAATGCATCACGGGATAATGTAACATATATCCTGAATTATTTTTCAGCTAAAATGGACAACAAGCTCGCAAGCACCCGCTTCTGCGACACCACAATTTGCAACACCTGATGTTTGCAGCAGACAAAATTTGCAGGTGTCGTCGAGAAAGAGTCTATACATAGCAGAGGGTGTTGTGCGTCTTCATTAAACAGAACAGAACGAACTCCATCCTCTGTTCTCGTTCAAGAGCCGTGCATTTTAAAAAGGTCGTACAGGGCTTAACGATTCAATTTTCTGAGAAAGCATTTGTGACTAGGATGTGGGGCGAGTCCTCTCTCTCCAGTTATGAATTCAAGCCTGTCTGGTTACCGCCCGCCCCCCCAATTAAAAAACGTAAAATGGAGTTCAGAATTAAACAAGTATCCAGATGCAGAATGTGGACCTTCCGAATTCTAAGCCAGCCTTTGCCAACACCTGGCACCTTCCAGATGTTTTCGACAGCAACTTCTGTCAGCCAAATTGCAACCCGAAACATCTGGAGGGCACTGTGTGGGCAAAGGCTGTCCTGAACCTCAAGGACAGATTGCTGTCACAGTTTCAAATCCCCTGCCTAACCATCAAAATAGGAGTGAATATCAGCAAGCCAGAGATTAACACTGAAGACTCTGTCGCTGTGGAGGGCTAGGATGTTTGTTAACCTGAAATGAATTTTAAGCCATTTAGATTTAGATGGGGCAGGGAACAACCCCGGGGTATAAAACAACAAGCTCTGCCCTACAACTTGTTGAAGAGAGACCTCACTATCATGGTCTAGCCCAAGAGGTTGCCAACCTTTTGGGGCATGTGGGTACAGCTGTAAGCTGGAGAAGCTGTTGTGGGCACCATCCCCGCCGACCTATTCTATTGGCTGCAATAAAACACTTCTTTCAAAAGTATTTTCTGTGGGGGGGGGAGGGGGCCCTATGGGCGCCAGTGAAGGCTTCTGTGGGTGCCATGTTGCCATTCTCTGCTCTTGCATAAAGGATAAAAGACTGGGGAAATGATTTGCCTTGTTTGTGTTGACACAACCACAATGTTTTTTATTTTATTTTATTTTTTAAAGGCCATAAGCCAGCTTTTTGAACTGCATACTGCTCTTCACCTGGGCCAGGTATTTAGAGCAATAAAATCCCAACCACCCAAAGTGCCACAGTGACATGTTTTGCAACTGACTTCACTTGGTTTCTCGCTGTAGCCTGAAGCCCATTTGCTCTGCCCAAAACATCCTCTGCCAATAGAGGCCTTTCCACGCTCACTCCCCCCTGCCAAACATCCTGAGACAGGCAGCTGGATGCTCAACGCTCCCAATGAAAATGCCCCCATTGCTCTGGTCCTCGCTAATGAGTGTCAAACCATCAAGGCTGCTCAGTGCCAAGGTCTGCTGTAGGGTAGCCCTCCCATGGGCAAGCTCCCCTATTTGGGGCGGGGGCGGGGGGGGGGGGGAGAAAGCCGCTCAGAGGGGTTTGCCAAATCGCAAACTTACATTTCCCGCATCCTACCTATCCGTCTTTCCTTGTTTCATATGTTAATTTTAAAATCTTAAATAAAAAATAAAAAGAAAAGAAAAGGGGGAAAAAATAACTAACTCAATCAAACCCCCATAAAAACCTTTGAGTATAAAGTGGAACACATTTTGTTTAAAATACTCTGGGCAATTTTTATAGAACATCCTCTTGGAGGGGAAAAAAAGTGCAGAGATCATTTTTTTAAGTCCATCCCGGAGGCTCTATCATTTAATTATGAGTGGGACATAAATTATGCATTTACACATTGTTGCGTTTTCTATAAAGTGGCATGGAGAAGCGGCTCCCCCCCTTCCTTTCCTCCTTTCCCCTCTTCTTCTTCTTTTTTTGTAGTTTTGGTACACTCTTTTTTCTTCCTAGGGGCACTTTGGAGGGAAGAAAGGACTGCGGGGTATGAGCTGATGAAAAAAAATTAGCATTTGTCAGCCTAACGCCATTATGAGATCAGCATGGTGCTAACACACACAAAAATCTAAATCTCTCTTTCTCTCCCCCACCAACAACTTAGACTTAAGGGAAAAGGGAAAGGGAGAGAGAGGGAAAACGCCCATGATCTCACCAGGCAAAAAATGCCTCCTTCTTCCAATGACACAGAGGCAATTGGGCAGAAGGGACTCATCTGCTTAGAGCTGAAAGCGAAAAGAAAAAGGTAGAACGGATGAGGCCCATTACCTGCACCGAATTCAACCGACAGTATCCGTTCAAAGGAAACCTAATGACGTGGGTGGGGTCTTGGTTCCAGCCTGCATTGACCGAGTTGCACATGACGTCCCCTGTCTCCGGGAAGATCTCCTCGATCAATGCCTTCTCTCCGCTCAGTGCAATCCTTTCCCCGAGATCCGGAGTCACCCTTACAACCAAGCAGTCACAGGGCTGGAAGTGCTTCCTTTGTTCCTTCTCCTGTTTCCATCGCTCCAGCTCCTTGATCATTGGCTGCAGCTGGTAGTACTTGGCCTCTTCGTATAAAAGATTAAAATCCTTTTAAAAAAAGGAGAGAAAGAGAGCTTATGTATCTCAGCACTTATGGATTTCATATATCTAAATCTAAATCTATATCTATGTCTATAGAGTTGTACCTTGGAAGTCAAATGGAATCCGTTCCAGAAGTCCGTTCGGCTTCCAAAACGTTTGAAAACCAAACCGCGGCTTCTGATTGGCTGCAGGAAGCTCCTGCAGCCAATCAGAAACTGCGGAAGCCCCGTCGGACATTTGGCTTCCAAAAGAACGTTCGCAAACTGAAACGCTCACTTCAGGGTTTCTGTGTTTGGGAGCCAAAACGTCTGAGTACCAGGGTGTTCAGGATCCAACGTACGGCTGTATCTATATCTATACACATGGGTAGGCAAATTTAAGGCCTGGGGGCAAGATCCGGCCCAATCGTCTTCTAAATCCAGCCCGCGGACAGTCTGGGAATCAGCATGTTTTTACATGAGTAGAATGTGTCCTTTTATTTAAAATGCATCTCTGGGTTATTTGTGGGGCATAGGAATTTGTTCATTCCCCACCCCCAAAAAAATATAGTCCGGCCCCCCCACAAGGTCTGAGGGGCAGTGGACCTGCCCCCTGCTGAAAAAGTTTACTGACCCTGTCTATACACATAATCTGTCCATGAAGAGGAAATTATGCATGTAATCTCAAATGGGCTTTGGGGAATGTGCATATCTCAACTGAATTTTGTACATTCTCTGGTCAATGTGCACAGTCTCCAAAAAAACCAAAACCCTTCCCTCCATCTCTAGTTCAGAACTGTGCAATCTGCATCCTGCAGGCTGCTTCTGTCCACTTCCTGATCTTACGGGGATCACAATACTCTCTTCATAGATCAGCCAAGCAACAAGAAGAAGGGGCGGTTTTTCCAGAAAACGTTATTTTCTGGCAGTCCAGCCTTTTCCCACCACTCTCAGTTGTTCCTCAGTCAGCTAAGCAGCACAAGGGGGACTGCAGGGGGAAGAAAAATGTGACCCGTCCCATTCTACAAACCTGACAGAAACGGCCCCCCTCCACCATGCCGCTAGTAAACTGAGGTAAAAGCTCAATCACAGCATGGAATCCCTCATTGTGGGGATTTTAGTGGACGGAAAAGTTCACCAGGAAGGGTTACCCACACAGGAAAAAGTGATGGGAAATGCATCGTTTCCACCAGGGAGGAAATTGCCACTGCCTCCTTCTTGTGCTCCAAGGGAAGTACCTGGGCCTTGAGGTGGAGGAGAGGATTGAGGTAAGCACAGCCCTGCTTGAAACAGGTTGCCTGAGGTCTATCCTTGCCCCATGTCTTTCTGTAACCATTTGGGCTGGATGGTGCCCCTGCTTGAATGCACACCACAGCTCTGAAAACCATGGAAATGGGAGGACCTTAAGGGACTACTGTACCCGTAGCAGAAATAACAGTGCTTAATAAAGACTATTCCAATGCAACACACTGGATGTCTGAAGCCAGGGAGCTGGCTGCTCAGTTCAAGTCAACATGTGGAATTCAAGATCTAGACTCCAAACCCAGCCACCCTAAGCCCCCTTAGTTCCCCCTTGCCTGCCTGCATCTTTCCTGGCAACAACACACAGCTCCCTAATAGTCTCCTGTTCAATTTGCACCTTGGCTTCTCCTTTCAAAAACTCCAAGTTTCCACCACCTCTTGTGTCCTCAGGCCTCTTCCTAAATTGCCCCACTCTCCTGAGCCACCCTTTCTCTTGACCAACTTCCCCAGCACTCCTCTCTCCTTCCCTCAACAACATAACACCCCTCTCCTGACCATAAGTACTTCCTTGCCTCTGAGTCCCATCCTTTCGATTCCTTGGGTCCCAGGGGAACCTCTTTTCAGTTCTGTGCGTAGTAAAATATTTCAATCCCAACCAAACTGACAACTCTCCTTTCCTCACAGAAGATGGACAGCAATCATTCCCTGAACAACTGACGATTTCACGTCACAGTCTTCATGGCTACAAGCACAATTCAATACAGTTTCTCTCAAGATCTTTTTACAATCCCCCTAAGGGAAGGTGCTACTATGCCCTGAATGTTGGGGGCTGAGGCTGGGGGAAAGGGAAGCTGCTGAAAGGAGGTTCATTGTAGAGGTGTGATTTGAAACTTCCTGGTTCTTAGCTGTGTGTGTTTTGGTTACTATGCTAAATGAGCTCTCATGGAAAAAGAACACTCATCCGCCCATGGAAATCTGGCAAGCAAGCTGACTGCAAAAAAAGCCATCCTTTGGAATTCCCCACTACAGGACAGTGTTCAGGCAAAGCATTTCACAATGTTCCTCAAATACTTGGCAGCCAGCCCTACGGCACGACAAGAACTTGAATGGAGCTTGACTTAACCACACCCACAGAGTACAGGAAGTCTCATCTTAATATCTACAATGATAAAAGTCAGTTGCAAAGCCAAAGATCTCACTGGGGCTCACTGGGCCTTCTTTTGACCCCTCCAGAAATTTTGGACTGCAACTCTTATCGTTAGTCTAATGTAGCACCCAATTTCCTTTTGAGTGGGTTGAGAGAAGCCTGCTTTAAGTTAGCAGAAGCCTGTCTTAAAACTTGGCTTTTCCTTCATTCTCTGGGGTAAAGAAAAATATGCAAATTATTTCTGATGGCTTTTCTTTTTGCATCAGATATATTACGTTCTGGGATCCTGTTAAGACCCTGCCAATCTTATGAGAAGGAAGGAAGGTTCTGCACTTAGACAGGAAGAACCAGCTGCACAAATATAAGATGGGAGACACCTGGCTTACTAGTAGTACAGGTGAAAGGATCTAGGGGTCTTGGTGGATCACCAGCTTAGCATGAGTCAACAGTGTGATGCAGAAGCAAAAAAATGCTAATGCTATTCTAGGCTACATCAACAGAAGTATAGTGTCCAGATCAAGGGAATCCATAGTACCACTCTATTCTGCCTTGGTCAGACCATACATGGAATACTGTGTCCTGTTCTGGGTTATCACAATTTAATCAGGATATTGACAAGCTGGAAAATCAGAGGATGGCAACCAAGATGATCAAGGGTCTGGAAACCAAGCCTAATAAGGAATGGTTGAAGGAGCTGGGTATGTTTCATCTGGAAAAGAGGAGACTGAGAAGAGATATGACAGCCATGGAAGATGGACAAGCTTGTTTTCTCCTGCTCTGGAGGGCAGGACTTGAACCACTGACAAGAAAGGAGATACCAACTAAACATCAGGAAGAACTTTATGATAGTAAGAGATGTTGACAGTAGAACAGTCTCCCTCAGGAGGCTGTGGACTCTCCTTTACTGGAAGTTTTAAAGCAGGTTGACTGGCCATCTGTCATGGAAGCTTTAGGGGGTTGGACCTTGGGGTCCCTTCCAACTCTACAATTCTATGACTTTCTCATTTTGATCTTTTTCAACATTCCTTTTGAGAACATATATACATAGGACGCTTTCCTTGAAGGTGGTGTTTCTTGGTTGAATAGTCTGGCAATTCATGCCCACCCCCACAAATCCCTTCAGTATACCTTCAAAAGTTTTCACCTACTGATCATGCAAAAGAGTTGCATCCTCTCCCAGTAATGCAAAGTTTTCAAAGCTGCTCCCAATTTGTTTCTGGCCCCTTTTCAAAGAACTTGCTTTGACCCACAGAGACCTTGGTTCCTGAAGGATTCCCTTTCTCCATATGTACCTAGCTGTAGCTAGGTCCTTTGAGCAGACCCTTCTTCAAATGCCCCATTAATCTGAGGTTTGAAGGGTGGTGGGGCGGGACAGAGGGCCTGGAACTTTACACCCTCCCTTGAGGAGCCCCACATTCCCTAGTGACGGGCCCATTGAGGACCAGTTGCCTAATGCCACACCCACTGTTCAGAAAAGGAGCCGGATGTCTGATTATCACACCAGTGACTTTTAATTTTCACCCAAGAGAAGGGCCTTTTGTCCATGTTGACAGGGCAGCACCCAAGACAGCCTTGAAAGGCAGGTGTGAGATTTTGTTCCCAGCCTTGCTGCACCCGGGAGTTTGCTAACACCCCTGCTAATCTGATGCTGCTCATCTGATACAGGCATGATTTCACTCCCACTTTGTTCTGATGACTTAGGGCAGAAAATGACAGACTCCAGCCTGGAAAAGTGCTGACATGGAAAGAAATGGCAAGGAAACCTGAAGCACCTTCTTTGCAGCTCCCTGCAAGGGGCAAATGGCAACCTACAGATTCCATCGACTAACAGAGTCCAACTGGCTGAGATGTGTTCAGTGGCTGCTAACATTAACAATGTTCAGGAGTCTGCATACGAAGCACACACTCACAGAAGCCTCTGCTTGGCTGTAGTAGCTCTATTAGCTGCTACAGGCATCTGGAGCCCCTCCATTCCAGCCTTCTCAGCAGTACCAATGGTGCTCCCCTGAATATGGCTCTTGGCTGAGAGATGTTCTTGCTTTACACCTTCCTGTGTTTAGCACGAAGGTCTGTGCAGGGTATTTTAGTGCAACTAAGGAACCCTGCAAAGATATTCCTTCACACTCAAAAGGCACAAGTATCAAGGCACCTGGAGACCTTGGCTGCCACCTCCCCCTGCCCCAAATTTAAGCCCTCTCATGTACAGATGAAAACCTGAATGGGTCTTGTGTAAGAAACAGATGCCCAGGCTTGCTCCATCAGTTACACTAAAAATGACTGAATCCTGAATACGGCCAGGCAGATTTGGCCACTGTAATATGCAGACAGCCACCAGTCCTTAGCGTGGGCTATGGGGCTCCTGTGGCTCTAGGTTGCTCTTGGGATCGGGCTACCTGCCCAGAGACATCCCTGTTTAGGAGGCTAAGAAAAACAGCTGCTTTAAGCAATAGATAATGGGGGCTACTCAGGGTGGCCCAATTGGGCTAGATGCACCAGTATGTTCTCTGAAATAAATGGAAGCCCACAAGAGTATGGCAGCCCCATTTGTCTTGGACTCCTAGGATGTCCATGTGTGAGGGCAAATGTACCTGGAGGGTACTCTACAGGGAAGCTGTTCGGGACAGACCTTCTTCTTCAGAGTAGACATTATCAATTGAGGGGGCTCAATCTGGATGAAACCCTGGGTCCCTTCCAAACCTGCAATCCTGTATTTCTGAGGCTAGAATGTATAAGAGGGAACCCGTTGGACTGGTCAAACCAGTCTCTTTGTCTATTTCTTCATGCAGTGCATAGCTAAACTATGGAACTCATTTCCCCCAGGAGGCAGCGATGGCCACCAACCTAGATGGCATTAAAAGAGGATTAGACAAATTCATGGAGGAGAAGGCTATCAGTGGCTACCACCCATGATGGCTATGCTCTGCCTCCACGGTTGGAGACAGCAATGCTTCTGAATACCAGTTGCTGGAAACCACAGGAAAGGCAAGTGCTCTTGCGCTCGGGTCCTAATTGTAGGTTTCCCACAGTCATCTAGTTGGTCACTGTAGGAACAGGATGCTAGACTAGATGGGCCGTTGGCCTGATCCAGCAGGCTCTTCTTATGTCAAGCTAAATACCCAACTTCTGCATCTTAAATGAGTTCCATTTTCAGAGAAATGAATGGTTGGGCCTTCCCCACCTGGCTGGCTTGTAGAAGAACAATAGCTTGATAAGTTGTTGTGTGTGAGAGCAGAAAGCTGGATGCTGGAGACACAGAGACATGTCCTGCTCTGTGGTAGGCCTAAGCTGAGCTTTGGGGCTTCTCTGGAAATCAAAGGGAGAAGCAAGATCCGTTGGGGTTTCAATGCTGTCAGCCTCTCCATCCAGTGCATAGGATATATATATGTGGAAATAAAACCATGCATCCTAAAGAAACCACAGTCTCCGCTGACCTTCGTTCCAAGGAAACCAAACCCTGGGGGAAGTGCTTGGAACTCCTGGAGCCTCTTACAACTTGGTGGTTGGGATGGCACTTAACAATACTCTTTCTGCACAAGCAGGCAGGTGCTTGTGCCTGGGTCTCAGCGCATGTAGTGACTGGCGCATGCTAGGTGAATTGCAGGGGGTGGGGGACAGAGGAAGCCTGCAGAGCCAAGCCTGCACCCCATACCTTCTGCTTGCCACATGAAACAACTTCGCACTCCTCTGACTCAATGGAGCGACAGCAGTGAGCGACAGGAAGGACCCCCTGAGCCAGGAATTGCTGCTGTATTTACAATTCACAAGCCCATGAAAACTGTATTAGATATTAGGAAAAGGTGCTCTCAAGGGGTGGGGGGAGGCTGTCAAAGGTAGAGCACTTTCAAGTCTCATCTTATTAGCAACTGGAACTGTAGTTAATATTCACTGTAAACACACCAGTCAGATGCGATAATAGAGACTCGCTAGCTAGGAACACATATGCAGCTGCCTCCGTAGCTCAGCCTGAAAACAACACTTAAAAACTGCAATCCTCAGAGGCAGAAATTCTCAAAGTATATATTTGGAAGCGGTCCCGCCGAAATCTGAGGATCGACAACTTCCTGTGTGGTTTGCACCGTTCTGCCTCCCAGCCAACACAAAAATACTTCTGCAGTCCTCAGGTCTCAGCATTTTTTAATTCTCTCCTGTACTTCTAAGTACAGGCAGATTTCTAAAATAGAGCCAGTGTGGTGTAGTGGTTAGAGTGCCAGACTAGGATCTTGGAGACCAGGGTTCAAATCCCCATTCGGCTATGAAGGTCACTGGGTGACCTTGGGGGGCAGTCACCACTTCTCAGCCTAAACTACCTCATAGGATCATGGTGAGGATTAATTGAGGTGTGGGCTTGATGAAGCATGTAAGCCACCTTGGACTCCTTGGAGAAAAAGGTGGGGTATAAATGCAACAAACAAACAAACAAACAAACAAACAAACAAACAAACAAACAAACTCATATGGATCATTGGAGCCATGGGGAACCAGCACATAACCGTGCAGCTTGGCTCCCTGCCTGGGGAAACCCAATTCTGTGTGGAGACAGGCGACTTCCAAAACAATGAAAAATAGCTGAGGTTTTTTTTATGGGGAGGGGGGACTTATCTGACTTTGGAAGTCCCACACCCACCTTCCTCTCCCTCCCTTTCAGCAACCTCAGCGCCTCTGATTCCCCACAAAGCCCCTCCTTTGTAAAAGCCCCTTACCCATCTGGGCTGGTGGTGGGCTCTGTAACCACCCCTTACCCATCTGGGCTGGTGGTGGGAGCAGCAGTAGCAGCCCTCAGGTCACTCTGCAGTTAAGAGGCAAGGAGGAAGGTCTCTCCTTCTCCCCCCTCCCCCAGTGTTCTTGGGAAAGCTGTCCAGGGTGCTGGAGGGGAAGTATCACTGGCCTGACTAGCTGGATATAAACTTTCCACCACTTCTAAGGTATAACCACATGTTCTCTTTTTGTATTGTTTAACTCTCTAATGTTTCAGAAACTAATGGCTGCCAATTAGCTACTGGGCTGGATTCAAAGTGCTGGCATAGGCTGGGACCTTGATGCCTCAACGATCGCCTCACCCATATATCCAATGGATAACTGCTTTCTGAATGATCCTACTGCAGATACCATCTCTCTAGGACAGTGGTTCTCAAAGGGTGCCGTATGTCACATTGGTGGGGCAGGAAGAATCAAGGGCAATCAAGGAAACATTTAAACATTTCAATGTAGCATAGCGTAGCATAAGATAGTACAGTATCAAAAGGGGGAAAACTTATTTGCAGAATATGGATAGGTAACTTTTCAAAATGAGAACAAGAACATCAAGTGATACTGAGGACAATCCTAGTTGTGACCCAGAATTGCCGTTCAAACAGAGTGCTGGAGAAGACTCGTTTAATTCAACACCAGTAGCAGGCCCAAGCAAACCTCCAAAAAAAAAAGTTGGTCGACAATATGCGGAGAGCTATCTGAGTCTCAGTTTCACATAAAAATGTCCCTCAGCCTATGTGTTTGATCTGTGGTGAGAAGCTTTCTAATTCCAATATGGCCCCAAACAACATGAAAATACACCTGCTGTTAAAACGTGGAAATCTGGCAAATATTTCATCAATAGTTTGAAAGGCCTTTGGAACAGCAGAAATGCCAACGACCATATTATTATTATTTTAAAAAAATGAGTAGAAGACTCAGATAAGATGTAAATTATATCTTACCAAGTGGCTGACTTGATTGCTCAACAGACAAAACTACATAACAGTAATAGCTGAAAAATTGATTAAGCTTGCCTGCAGCTTGATTGTGGAAAAAATTGTTTGGTGATGATGCTGAATGACAAGTTATGGAAATTCCTTTTGTCTGACAAGACAATTTGCAGAAGAATAGTTGATATGTCAGCTAATATTGAGAACTGTGTTTCCAAAAGTATGAGGAATTCTGAATTTGCCATTCAAGTTTATGAATCTAAAGCCACAATTGGAAAAAGCAGAATTGCTTGCCTCTATCAAATTCATTCACAATGGTGAAATAATTACACAGTTCCTGCTTTGCAACGAGTTAGCAAAACATATTAGAGGAAAATATATTTTCCAACCCTTGTCTGAGTATTTGGGGGAAAGAAAGAAAAAGATTTCATGGGATTCTTGTACTGGAATTTGTACGGATGGAGTACTGTGTGTGATAGGGAATGTGAGAGGCTTGGTGGCATTCGTCAAACAGAAAAATCCAGATGTAGTATCAGTTCACTGGGTTTTTTTAACACAGAGAGGCATTAATCACCAAGACCTTTCTAGCTGATTTGAAGTTGGTTCTAGATCAGGCTATGCACATTCTGAATTCCATCAAAGCAAAACCACTAAAAAAAGGTAGTATATGGCCAGCTTCTGGTGCTTCTTCTTAATTGTTGTTAGATCCTGATAAATAAGCTAAAAATGAGGAAGTAAAATTGGCTTAGAAAAACTGATCCTGCCTGGTGCTTTGCCAATCCCTTTCCCTTTCTGGTATCTATGACAACTAGTGGGCCTGTTTCTTAAGCTGTTGCATCTGCAGCCTAGCATCCGACAAGCACCTTAAAGAACAGAAAGGGCCCCCTCTGCCAGAGCATGCAAGTTCCTGTTGCTCCAACAACATCAGACCCAAGGAAACCGAACATAAGTCTTGGCAAAGCAGTCCCTTTAACAATAACACCAGCAACATCTGGGTCATGTGCAGACCAGACAAAACCCCACAGTTTCCTAACTATGTTTGGAAACCCTGTTCTAATCTGGTTTACAGCAAACTATGGCTAACCTAAACATTGGTGCATACCGAGAGTAAACCACAGTTAGTTCCCAAAACTGAAAGGGAGAGGATGGAAAGGGGAGAAGACCACAGAGCCATGCAGGCAGGGTTTTTCCAGCCTCAGCATAGTGGGGGAAAGTACACCAGAGAATACAAACTCACTCTGAAATAAATGGCTTAATAAGAGAACAAACTGATTACAGGTTTCTGGCCTGTCTTACCTTAAAGTCTTCTGGGAGCAGCAGTTTTGACGTTCTTAAGAAGCTTAAGATGTATCTGAAAATTTCACCATCTCGATCAATGAAATAATGTTGTTTTAAACTGTCCAACACAATAGGTTCCGTGCCATTAAACAGACGGCTTATTCTGGGAGGAGGAGAAAAAGGAAAAGGGGTGGGCACAAAATGGGAGTAGAAGGTCACATGATCTTGCGAGAATCACAGAATCTTAAGACAGTAGTTGCTGAATCTCAGAAGGCTCTTTTATGGTCACCTGGCCCACCCTTTGCCATCAGGGTTCCTTTCAGATATTTTTGATGCTGGACCTGATGAGAATTATAGTCCAAAATGCCTGAGGGGCACTAGGTTAGCCAAGGGTGGCTTAGTCCAACCTCAAACTCCAAGACAGGAGCTGACAGAAATAGAGTTCACAATGCACAGTAAACTGTGTATAGCACACTCCCCCATTTAACCAACACTATCTTTATTATGGTGAGTTCATTATTAGGGTAACCCCAAAGATTAACCCAAATTTCCCACAAGGGGAAGGCCGCCCATTACCCACAAAATTATGATTATTATTTTTAGTAGTAGTATGCTGTGGCGAGAAAGTAAACGGTATTTCCGTGCATTGCTCTGGTTTCGCCAGAAGCGGCTTAGTCATGCTGGCCACATGACCTGGAAACTGTCTGTGGACAAACGCCGGCTCCCTCGGCCAGTAAAGCGAGATGAGCGCCACAACCCCAGAGTCGTCCATGACTGGACCTAATGGTCAGGGGTCTCTTAGCTTTACCTAGTAGTGGTAGTAAGATCACAGGGCAATTCACAATATAAAAATACAAGCTAAAACCATAAAATATTATAATAAAACAAAAATAAAACAATACCCCCCTTCCACAGACACATTTAAAACACCACAGAATATTAAATCAGCCAAATGCCTGGTTGAAGAGAAATGTTTTTGCCTGGCGCCTAGAGATATGTAATGAAGGTGCCAGGAGAGCCTTCCTGGGGAAAGCATTCCACAAATGGGGAGCCACTGCAGAAAAGGCCTGCCACCCTCCAGACCTCTCGTGAGAGAGGCACCCAAAGAAGAGTCTCAGATTATGATCACAGAGTCTGGGGCAGTTCATATGGAGAGAGGCGGTCCTTGAGGTATTGAGGTCCTGAGCTGTTTAAGGCTTTATAGGTAAAAACCAGCACTTTGAATTAGGCCCAGAAGCTAACTGGCAGCTGGTACAGTCGGGTCAGGATCAGCACAATATGCTCAATCTGTCATGTCCCAGTGAGCAACCTGGCTGCCAAATTCTGCACCACAGCCATGACCCAGACAGCCCCAAAGTATTCACTTTTGCAAAAGCACACCCTCAAAGAATCTGTCATCCTCTCCTGTCAGTCGCGCTGTTGCAAAGCGTGCTTTGAATCCTAAAAAGAGCCCTCTTCTCAGACTACACTGCCTTCCTTGCAGAAGGAATCCCTCTAGCTCCTTCTCTTTCCCCTCCTAATTTGTTTGCATCTCTCAGGAACCACAAAGGTCCCACCAGAATCGCTAGAGTTTGGGTGTGATTTTTCCACTCGGGTAGTTTGGGGACAGGCAGCTGCCTGCCTCCCTGCATGGCCCAGATCGGAAAAGGCTCTTTTTGATGTTGCGCTGGTCTCCCACTTCATGTATAATTTTCTTTCCACTATCGCTCCTAAATCTGGTGTTTCCAGTTCCTTCTAATTTAGTAATCATCTGCAGATTTCATTAGTGTGCCATCTACTCTCTTCTGGATTAATTACAGAGATAGCTGAAGTTGCTGGAGCTCACACAATTCCCTGCTGAACGCCAACGGAAGGTCCCACCCTTCTCTGGAACCCACCCTTTGCGGCTGGTCACTCCCTGTCTTGTTTACGGATCCACCACCCCAGAACCGAGGCAGGTGACACATACATGGAATTGTTTTGCATTTGAATTAATTAGGTACTTGTCCAATATGTATTTGTAAATCCCAGTGCACAGTCTGTTTCTCTCCTGCTCCCCTTCCCTCTCCTCACCACCACAACCACTAAGCCACAGCTATTATGAAACGGTATCAAATTAAGCAAATTAAGGAATGCAGGTAGCGACTATTTTGTTCCTAATTGATGTGTGACCGCAAACACATAGGTACTTTTGGACCTGGAAGAGGGCAGAACGGGGCGGGCTTATGTGTATGGTAGCCAGGGGCGGAACCTGCACAGAAAATGTTTGCCGCCTGTATAGAATGTCAGGCACATTCACATGCTACACGGAACACAGGTATGAGCCCAGCTCAGAATTGTGGTTCTCCTGAGTCCCAGATGAGATTCTCTCCCAGCCCTACCTGAAGATGTCGGGGATTGAACCTGGGAGGTTCTGCATACAAAGCGGTTGCTCTGCCACTGAGCTACAGCCCTTCTGCAGCTCGGTGGCAATTTCTCCTCTTACACAAGCCAGCGTCGGCAATTGCTATGGCCCCCTGGAACGTGGGCAGCTCCACACTCGGCAAGGCAGCCTTCCGTCACAACAGCTTGTGTGGATGGCTTGCCCGTGACTTGCATTCACAACCCCGGGAACGTTTGGAGTTCCCAGCATGCGCACGCAGGTTTCAAGACGAGGATTATGTCACTTGATGTGCTGCCTATGGAGAATGTTTCTGGAGCCATCCTTATTTTCTCAAGATCATTTGCTTTCTGTCTGATTCTCAGCTCAGGGGAAGCCCTTAGGCCATAGGTCTATTGCTCTGCTGACTTGGGATGACATTGTCAAAACAAAACAAAACAGCATTATTTTTTAGGTAAAGAACTTAACCAACAAATGATCTTCACATTCAGAAATATCCGAGAAGTACTTTGCATCCCCAAAGACTCTTCTCTGTTGTTTTAGCAACCTGAAGACTGAACTCCAGCCTCCTCTTAGATCAGTGGTTCTCAAAGAGTGTGGCAAGAGAGGATGGCAAGTGTGGAGGGAAGATTCAAAGACAATCAAAGAAACATTTAAACATTTCAGTGTGGAACCTCACACCTTGCACCGAATTTATATACATACGTAAAGGTATGTATGTCAGAGGCTCGTTTATAATTATATTTTGAGAGTGATTCATGTCCATTGTTTTCTACTTTCTATGTTATAAATCAAGCAACTACTATGAGTTGTTGCTTTTTGTTTTCCAATGTATTTCTTACCAATAAAAAAGTGTAGCCCAAAGAAAGTGTAGCCCAAAGAAAAAAGTTTGAGACCACTGCCTTAGATCTTAGGAGTCAGGAAAGGGTTAACTGCATCTGGGCACTCTGTGCATGACTGGAACTGGAATTCCACTGACTCTTTCTTCCTTTTGGTTAAAACTGGAATCAATTAGTGGGGGATACACTGATAAGACTTGTGCTCAATCTTGTACTGAATTAATTGAGCAATGCTGTAGCTTTCAAGAACATTTACAGTAGTGATGAAAGTAGATTAGATGTTTGCTGGGACTCCCATAAAGTTACGACTTTAATTATGAATGTGGGCGAGCTGTTTTGCTGGTGTTCTGTGCCTGCCTTTTCCTGCCTCCTTTTGCCATGCATCTCCAGATGTTTCCTTCCTCCTGATTTTTCTTCAAGGTAACCTACCGACTGACTGCACACAGCCTGAAATGGGGCAAGGCCAGTGGTTTCTTTTTCTGGAAAACTCACCATCAAGTTTGCTTGTTTATTGCGGGCCCAGTCGCAGTGCCACTCCCCACCTGCTGGGCAGTGGCTAAATGTAAGATGTGATTAATAAACTCAAGCAGACAATGATCTGGATTAGAAATGGCCACAACTTTATTGATTACGACTATAGGTGGATTTTTTGCTCAGGCACTGGGTTCTAGCTCCTCAGGCAAAATAATAATAATTATTATTTAATTAAAAAGGGTAAAGGAACTCAGTTCTGTCGAACTCCTGCCCTGCCAAAACCATGGCCAAGGACACTCAGAAAGTGACAAGCTTTACCTTCTGCAAGGACTAACGGCTGAAAGCTTTCCAGTCAAGTCATTAATGGTTGGACAGGAAACTTATTTTTTTTATTTAGTTATTTTCTTACGTTTTCTTACACTTTCCTACCTTTCTCCCAGCATGGACCCCCAGGGGGCTCTCAGGCAGTCTCCCACCCAGGCACTGACCACATCCAGACCTGCTTAGCTTCAGCAAGCTGATGGCCTCTTGTGCCTTCAGACCAAACCCAATAACCAAACAGGGCAAACTGGAAGTTCACAGCTGTGGGCATTATATCATCTTTAGTGGCGATTCCTTCAAGAAAGGGGGTTGGACTAGACGACTCTTTGAGTCCTTTCCAACTCTACGATTCTATTAATTCAGTTTCACTGCAAAAAATCCTCAACCGTATGCTGAAGAACCGAGTAAAACAAAAGTATTCTGTCTACTTATTTCTATATTATTATTATTTTTAGTCCTGCCTTTTAGGGCCAAGTTCTCACCAGGCGGCTTTCAAAGTAAATTAGGATTAAGAACATTGCAATCAAAATAATCTCAAAACACAGAAGAACCAGAAGAAAAAAAAATCAAGCCAAAGCTTGGGAGCGGAACAAGAATGTTAGGGTTGATCGAAACACAACCTAAGTAGAAATGAAGCCCACCCCAAAGATGGAAGGGGAACTCTAACGATATAGCACCACCACTGAGAATGCCCTGCCCCAGATCCCTGCTAACTCAGTATTAAAGCCACGGAGCCCAGAAATTCCAAGCAGGTGAGCTCAATCATCCTCACTTCAACCTCCATATCTGTGATCAGTTATTTTCAAAAACCTTTAACGATCCTCAGTTACAAGTTAGTAGGCATGGATAGTCCTTTCCTCCATGAATTTGTTTCATCCTCTTAAACCCATCCAAGCTGGTGTCTATTAATGCCTCCTGCGGGAGTGAGTTCCATAGTTTAACTGTGCACTGAATAAAAAAAGAACTTTCCCTGTCCTGAATCTTCCAATATTCAGCTTCAATACATGCTCTCTGAAGGGGTGGGGGGTGGGGAATCTACACCCACTTTCTCCATGCCATGCCTACATTTTTACAAACTTCTTACTTGCCTTCTCTCTAAACCAAAAAGTCCCAAAACAGAAACATTTTCTCATGGGGCAGTTGCCCCACCCCCCGATCATGCTGGCTGTCCTTTTTTCAGCCTTTTCCAGTCCTACAGTATCTGCTTGGAGGCGATGTGACCAGAAGCTAATTCCAAATAACTCACCCACCCTGTGTCCCCCAATGACATCTATATGAACACCATTACAATAAGAAACTAGGAAAAACCCGTCAAGCATCAGCAACAAGTGAGCATGGCAAACTGGATGTGAGGCTCTTGCTAGTTAGCATGGGAGGTGTTAGGCAGTGAGTCACATTGTGTGAGAGTAAAGAGTTATTGCAAACACACAAGGGCACCTGTTTTTGTCACCTGCGACGTACTAGAGTTGATGCACTTCCTACAAACCCTTCCCCGTCATCAGCAAACACAGCAGCCTTGTTTGTGCCCGCATTGCATTATGCCAGGTGAGAGGCAGGATTCCTGCACCGAGAAAAGGAGGTACCACAGATTCTTCTGGTCTAGCCTTCTCTTTGAAATGCTGTGCGTTCCCTGTGTGGAGATTTGCTTCTTTCTTTTGCTATGAAAGGGCACTGTGTCCTGTGAGCTCCCACCTGGTAGCACAGGGAATGCACGGGGAATGTTTTCCAAATTGACGGATGACACAAACTGCCCAGGGTATCCAATACCATTGAAAGAGAGCTTCTCCACACACTTGAGGCCCTCCTGTCATAAATGTTGAGGAAGAGGCAGTTTCAAAATGGCGGCAGGTGGAGGCAGCGTTGGGCGCAATCAGCTGTCACTGACTGACATCATTTTCATTTGGTATCCTATCCACCTTTGGAAATTGTTAAATCATACTTTTCCCTTCCCAGCTCTACATGTCTCTCCAAGGTATTTTCCCCCATTGCCTGTAATTTCTTCTCCTTTTCTCCTTTTCACACTCAACAGACAACCTATTCCCTTATGAAAGAAACTTATTAAGCTTCTTTCATCCCTCCTCCTTTTACATTCACTTCTTTCTCCTACAACAGCATTCTTCTTTTATCCCCTTCCTTCTTCTTCTTCCCAATTTGTTTATTATATTTTTTAATATCAGCTTATTATTACTACATAGTATTGTTGTTGTTGGTCGTTTAGTTGTGTCCGACTCTTCATGACCCTTGGACCAGAGCATGCCAGGCACACCTGTCTTCCACTGCTTCCCACAGTTTGGTCAAACTCAACTACATAGTATTAGTAATTATTAAATAATATCCTTCTGGCTCACTTTCTTCAATACATCCTCCAGCCCTTTCTCCTGAGAAAGACCTTCTTTCCCTTCTCACCCCCTCCCTCCTGAAATATTTATGTCTCTCCTGGCCACCTTTGCTCAGCATACAAGGCAATGTCTTTCCTGGAACTGGTCCCATCTGGTGCAGCTAAAGGGCAGGCAAGTGAGGAGCAGGCCTTGGGCAGGCAGGAGCACTGAGGCCCAACTGAAGGTGGCCCAAAGCCCAATGGTGATAATAATAATAATAATAATAATAATAATAATAATAATAATATATTTATACCCTGCCCATCTGGCTGGGTTTCCCCAGACACTCTGGGCGGCTCCCAACTAAAGGCAGAATTGGACAAATATATGGAGGAGGTTATCAATGGCTTTCAGCCACAATGGTTATGCTCTGCCTCCATGGCTGGAATCGGCAATGCTTCTGAATACCAGTTGCTGGAAATGGCAGGAGGGCCCTTGTGCTTGAAACCTCCTTGAGGTTTCCCATGGGCATCTGGGCAGACACTGCAAGAAGAGGACTAGATAGCCCTTTTGCCTGATCCAGCAGCCTTGTCTTGCTTTGCAGGGCAGGACTGCCAGTAGACAGAAATTTGAGAGAAGCGAATTTTGGTGAAACGTCAATGCTATGGTAAGAGCTGTTTAGGAGTGGAACAGATTTGCCTTCAGTGGTGGCCAGCATCCTTTCGCTGAAGGTATTCTGACAAGCATTGGCGAGAGATGCTGTGGTTGTATCTTGCATTGCAGATTCTGCAGTCACCCCTGGAACCCCTTATTTCTTCCTGTCCTCCTGAATATCTGAAGACAAAAGAGAGCCACGGTTGAACTTTTACCACTAATCGTGGGTTTTTATAACAAAATAAACTGGCAGGATCCATCAGGGACTTCTCTTCTTTCTCATATTGCCTCAGTTGCCAATCAGGTTTGTGCTTCTCCATAGAGAGGTCATCCAAAAAAAATGTGACCAATAATTACAGCCGAAGTTGAGTTAACGAACATATGGGGAAATGTTGTATGTTCCCATTCAGTAGATTGGTTGGGCACGCTCCTTTTGGCGTTTAAATAGACACCTTTGGCCAAATTCCATCCAGGATATAAAACGGCAAACATAATAAGCAACCATTATGAAAAGTGGAAGCAGTTTGCAAATGACTAGAACAGAGGACAAAGTATTGCCTTTCTTAATATGCGCTTCTTGAGTGGGATGATTGAAGAGGCAAAGTATTTGGGATACAAAACTGCAAGTTATTTGATGGGTTTAAATTCTGCCACAAACAATGGACTTTATTATTTATGGCAAACATTTCGTGTATGTAAACTAGGTTGCAGATTGTTGGAATATACGATAACGCTTGCAACTGCAAAGTAGCCAGCAGAATATAGATGTAAAATCAAATCCAGACGGCTTCAGCTGCCAAAAAAGCAACTTACTGTAGCTATAGAGTGTAAGATTTAGGAAAACCACAAGTGGCTGTGTGGAATTGTATGCCTTCAATGCTATGGAGATAGGAAGTTGGAAAAGGGAATCTTTACACGACTGTTTGATCTGAAAGGGTTGGATGATACAGCCCCTGTTCTCTAACTAGCAATGGGTAAAACACACACAATAAGCCCTATTTCCTGAAGCTCAATTTATCTGATTGTGGCTATATAAGGTTAGGATTATCAGGGAGGAACTCAGGGCTGCATTTATGCAGCAACTGGCCAAGAACAGAGTAGAATCCAATATCCAAAGAACTCTCGCTTTTGATGTTAAAATCCAAAGTCTTAAGCCCTTACAGTTGTGAAGGTGTTAATTTAAAATGTGGGGTCAATGCCTGCTTGGAACCTCTGGAGCCAGAGATGGGCCTGAAAAAGATTTCTAGTGACTGGGGGCAAGAATTCATGGCCCAGCCCCCAGGTCCCTGCCGGACTAACAAATTGGGGATAAATTAAGTAGATAATAACTGCAGAGCAATTATGCCAAACTGAGAGAGATTGCACACATGTCTTCAACTTGACTTGCCAGTGTGCAAAGGTTTTAATTTAATGTGGTTTATTTTGGGAATTTATATCCCACTCATTACAATGCGATCTCAGCAGTTGTGTGAATGGCCATATCAATAGCACCACGCAACGAAAGTCAGAGAGGTGAAGTTTTATTACTTGATAAGTGTCTCTGGAAGCTGATCTGCATTTGGGGCAGGCCTTACTCAGAAGTAATGCAGACTCTTCTTATGTTCAAGCAGTCAGCTGGTGACTGATTTAAAGGTGCCGAGCAATGAATCAGTGTGTGCTCAGACAGGTATATACCCCGTCCCCCTGAATCTGATATAGCCCTGAGGCTGTTGTGTCACACCTCTAAAGTCATGCTATATTGAGGGTGGAAAACTATTTTGTGCTGGCTGTGCAGATGCACCACTTCGACATTTATGGCTACCAATGGCTACTAGCCTCCACTGTCAAAGGCAGGGTATGCTTCAGAATATCAGCTGCTGGAAATTGCAGGAGGAGACAGTGATCTTGTGAAACATGGATGCTGGATGAGATCGCCCATTGGCCTGATCCAGCAGGCTTTTCTTAGGTTCTTTTATCTACACCAGAATTATAACAAGAAAATCCCTTGAGGACATCACAATTTTACTTGCCAGACAAAGTGTAGGACAAATATTATCTTTGCATTCCTAAACTCCAGTACCACCTCTGTGGGGGGGTTGGGTGCCTGGAAATATTTCAGCTCTCCCTGATGTGTCAGGAAAAGGCAACCCTAAACCCCCATTCCTTTCTGGTCCTCCCCTCGTGCCCCCACCCCAATAGCCTGCTCACATTATTCACTTTTACTAGCAGCTTCTCAGTTTGCTGGAATGGCAGCAGTGTTTAAGTCGGCATCTGGAGAAGAGAGCACCGATAACATTAATTTTGGCAATTAATATTTAACTGTTCCGTAATATTTGTGCTATTTATAATTTATCTGTTTACACTTATTAAAAATGGATGACAGTTCCCTTGCCCCGTGTCAAATTGTTTCGTAATTGTGCATTTATGGAAAATATGCCCTGAAAGGTGTCCTTTTGGATTCTTATTTGTCTGGGCGCCCCGAGCGCAGGGCTCTCGCATGGCTCTGTCGCTCCACTTTCCCCCTGCTCCGCGGTGCTTTTCTCCACACTCTGGCTGTTTGATCCCAGACACAACAGGAAGGGCAAAGCGAAGTTGACAAGATCTCTGAGGCCTTCTCGGCACTTGATATGGAGTCTGTCAATTGTGCTTTGCTCTTCGGCTCAGACGTGGAGCTCAAGCGGCAGAGGTAGGAAATCAGGACATCGCCAAGCTGGAAAGAAGATCTCAGTGGGAGGAAAAGCGCACCCCACCCTCAAGCCAGGGAAAAGAAACATAGGGGGCTTTTTTCCATTGTCGTCTAAGAGCCACACAAGGCTGGCCCAACAGCTATATCATGCTTATTATTATTGTTATTACATTTCCATCCCATCTTTCCTCCAAGAAGCTGAAAATGGAGGCATATGTGGTCCCCCCACCTCCATTTTTCGCAACAACTTTGTGAGGTAGGTTAGGCTGAGAGATGGTGACTGGTCCAAGGCCACCCAGGGAGGTTCCCAGCCAAGTGGAGATTTCAACTCTGCCTTCCAAGGTCCAAGCCTGAGACTCTATCCTTCTATATGCCACACTGCCTCTCACACCAGCAAGGGATGGGCCACCGACTGCTTGAGCGATGTAGACTGTTTCCAGCGCTTCCAGCGCTGTGCTGAGAGATTCCACAGCAGAGTGTGTGAGGAGAGGGAGAAAAATAGTGTGTTCTAAGCAATGCAGGAATGAGTTTCCTTGTTCCCTTCCCAACAAATAAAGAGCTTCACGGCCTTTGAAAGCTCTCCTCAAAGGCTTGACGGAAGAGGGGAAACACCACAGCCTGTGAATGAACCTGCAAAGTCAGGTCAGCAGCACTGTATTGTTAGAGAGATGTGCCCCGAGAACTATAATAATAATAATAATAATAATAATAATAATAATTTATTATTTATACCCCACCCATCTGGCTGGGTTTCCCTAGCCACTCTGGGCGGCTTCCAACAAAACACTAAAATACAATAACCTATTAAACATTAAAAGCTTCCCTAAACTCTTGCAGGGATTTTGAAGTGGCAAAACAGGCCAGTGTCCTCATCTGGGAAAAAGGCGGGATATAAATAAATAAAGTAAGAATAACAATTTGATACCTAAGATGTGTATTTTTGCAACCCAGTAATTGTAATTGTGTTATAATGGCTGCAACCCGTTTTGGGACCTTAGGTGGGCAAATGATGACAACAACAACAACAACAACAACAACAACAATAACGACAACAACATCAGGCTGCATGAGAAATGGTTTGGGCCTCAGCTCTCAGTCTCCAAAAACGGTTAACCCAACTTTCATAAGGTGGCGGAACTGGAATGACAGAAGCAGCGGTTCCGCCCCTGGCCTTCTTCTCTCAAATCCCCAAGTCTCTCATTCATATCTCTGAAACCTCCAGTTGCTCAGTAAAAAACTAAAAAAACAACCCAAACCTGGTGCTGATCAAGGGTAGGTGAATTGCCTCAAGGAAACCAGCGAGGAAGCAGCAGCAGTTTTATCAGTTATCGAGACTTTCCCAACAACGCCTGCTCCCAGCTACGCCGAAGAAATTGCTACAGGGCTTTCCTGGGGCCAAGAAAGGTGCTCCAAACTGCTTGCATGAAACATTCTTTTCTGAATCTTACCGCAGCCTGCAAATCGTTAAGTATGAGGCATGCCTAACCAACAAAATAAATGAAGGGGGTGCACGATTCCATCAGATTTAAGGACCAGCGACTGTGTGAATGATGAGTCTGCTTGCACCCAAAAGCAATCCAGACCCAGCTGCCTGCTCTTAGGAATGTAGGAAGCTGCCTTATAGTGAGTCAGACCATATGTCCATCTAATTCAGTATTGTCTACACCAGGGGTCAGCAACCCTTCCCCAAATAGTTATTCAGATTTGCAGGGCTGTAGCCACCTAAATTATATTCACAGCAGAGCCACTGAAATGAATGGACCTGAGTTAGGTCACACTGGCACCATACGTTGAAAAAGCCTTACAAGTTCCTTGGGAAAAGGACTGATTGTTAAACTGTTCTTGAGAACTGTAGTTCTGTGAGGGGAGTAGGGGTCTCAAAAGCAACTTTCAGCACCCTTAATGAACTACAGAATGTGGGATGTAATCCACTGGGAGCAGTCAAATACAACATTCCTTGTTTTCCTAGAGTGGACATGCAAGGGGATGTTTGGTCCAGCCAGTCAAAACTTCCTGTTCTTCCTGGCCTGGAGCATCCTTCCTTGCATGTGATTAGTGGGTGGGCATGACCTTTCCAGACCTGGTAAAAGGCCAAGGCATGCTGCCACTCTCCCTCTTTTCCATCTTCTTTTTGTCCTGCGAACTTCCTGGAATGAACTGCTGGCTGCCAGCCAAGCAGTCCCTCAGGTCATCTCCCTTATGGGGTAAACCTGTTTTTATACATTTGTAACTTTAAGCCTTAAGCCTGCCTTCAGGGATCACACTGTGCTCTGCCTGGTCATGAGTAAACTTTCTTTTTATTGCTTATGAATAAGACTGTGGTGTCTTTATTCTTTTAGGAGGGATTCAAGGGGTCTTACCAGGAAAATATTAGAATACATTTCAATCTGGACAAGCCAGACTGAATTGCTTATTGTCTTAAGAAACTCACACGGGTTTGCAACTAGTTTTCTGCTGTGTAAAGGGGAATGCACACTCTGCTAAGTAAAGGAACTTGCTAGCAAAAGTTAGGAAGGATATTAATAAACAGTATATCCTCTCCTGCCACCCTGAACATTCCCACACAGAATTCTTGGGGGCTGTGGGGGAGAGGTGAAACTCTGGTATCATAGAACTTTAAGCATATGCTATGGATGTGGCGTAGCCCTATCCATCAATTTCCATGAGTCTATTTTGCGCGTAACTATTGCCAGGTGTAACCTAAACATTTTAAAGTGATGTATCTCGCCTTCCTCTTTGGCAAAGGGCTCAGGTATGGATTGTGTACCTGCAACGTGCTCCCCACCTCCCCAGACATCGGAGCCACAAAAAGTGGCCTCTGATCACTTCTTCTCTTGAAATCCAGGAAACGCAAGTCGAGTTTTCCCCACCCTAGATATCTCTGGCCATATGCAGGGCACTAGAGTTATTTAGACTGATTGCTATATTGTGATTTTATGCTTAGATTTTTGTGTGTGTTTTTTTGTATTCCAAACCCTGCTCATCTGCACTGAGGTCTGCTGAAGAGGAGTGGAATACAAATTGCTTACATAAATAAAAGGACCCCTTGATAAAATTAAGGGCAGATGTCAAACAAACATGAATATGTGAGTGTGTCATGTGTGCTTCGGCTGAAATTATCAGGCAGTAATACCGTGGGGTTTGCCTACTTTCAAACCATGATCTTATTTCCTGATTTGTGACCTTTAATTGTAGTGATCCAATTAATGGTAGGATATAAAGTGCTCTGGATTCTTTCACTCCTGTGTGTCACCGTGCAAGGTTAAGGCTTCTCTGGTTGCCCCCCGCCCCCCAAGGGCAGGAATGGTTTCAATTTGTATTTCCATGCTTTAGGAACTTTAAAATTATCCCAACCTTATGCACAAACTCTGCACTTAATGGGGCTTTCTCCCACTGAATAAATTACGCCTCGCTTTCACCCTGACAGTCAAAAACTTCCTTTCCTTCAACATATACATAAGAGAAAGTCCTCATCCGCCCCACACATTTAAACCAGTATTGTTCCACTTGGAACAGCGATGGCTTCCCCCAACATCTGGTGGGCACCATGTCGGCTGCCCTTGCATAAAGGGGTTGCTTACTTCCTTTTTGCACATATCTAGAGGCAGATGGGGACTGGGAAGGTGAAAATTCTCTTACCCAAGACCTTGGAACGCGTGGAGTCAGATATGGGCTGATGCAGAGGAGCAGAGACTGCGTTCTAAGAGCCACTGCAATCCTGACTGGTCCCACAAGATAATAGGCTTTCTCCATCTCTAATTTCTGTAATAACACTGTGTTCCTACCTTTTGACTTTGATGCTGGAGTGCCACAGGAGCATGTTACTTCTTCAGCGCTTTTGATGGATATTACATCCACTAACTATTAAGCACCTGGAGGAATGACTGGATCTATTTCTACCGCCGAGATTTAATACTTTTATATTTTTCAGTGCAGATGAGAATATATATATATATTATTTTTTTTGCCAAAGATGGGAGCTGGCTGTACGCAATCAAGACATATTTTTAAAAGTCAATGTACCAAAGAGAGGCTGTGCTGAGAAATCTCTTTTAAAGTTCCCCATGCATGTGTGTGTGTGTGTGTCAAACTTCCAGGAACAACGGATGAGGGGATGAAAGAGAATTGAGAAGTATACGCAGTGCGCTCCTGAATTTGAATAATGAATCCAATTAGGGTTTTTTCCATGACTGATACAAATGCTGATCCAACTCAAATCAAGTGGGAAATTTGGACAAAAACGTTTGCCAGCTATCAAACAGGGCAAGCCTCTGCTATTAAAGCACTTTTGGATGGCAGGGGTGGGGCTTGGCTTGGGGTCAGCAGGCCCTGCAATGAAAGAACTTACAAGGCAGAGTGCACCAGCCCTGCTGGAAGACACCACGGATTCACACAACCGTTTATTCCATTTCCCCAATGTTTCCCTAACTGTTCACTTCCATATTACAGTCGAACTGTCGCACGATGCAAAAGCCACTTCTGGAAAATTAACGGAATACAGTGCTTGTTTCATGCTCATTTCCATGATATTTGATTCCAGAAAGAAAGAAAAAATACCTGTTTGCAGCTCCCTTTACCCAGAAAATCACAGGAGTTAAAGTGACCAAATTTGGGGCAGTATATCGGAGAGGCAGTTCTGTCCTGCTGTTTTCATGGGGGAAATCATGCAGCAGGCCTGTACGGAAGGGGTGGGAGAATAGTGATGCAGTTCAGTGATGCTCATTGTTGTGTCATATCACAGCCACTGGTGTGGATGAAATTTAGCATGACATGCTGGTATAGCGTTCAAAAAGCCACAGTTCCATAACACAACAGGTACGGCAGTGTGAAAAGGACATTAGAAAATGGGACAGAAGCACTAGCATTATAACCGGAAAAACTAACACAAGATTCCCCACATCTGTATGCCCCCCCTTGTTGCATCCTGGTGAGTCTTCTTCTTACAAGCTCCAGCTGCACAGTACAGGCAGTGGTTGGCTTGTGGGTAGGTGGGTGGAGAATCCCTGCTGTGAAATGCCATTCTGAGGTTGCCACTTCGGGGTCGCCATTAGAGTGAGGCACTACCCTGAGCCCATTTTCACAGCCCTTGCCCTAGCTCCCACCAAGATGACAGAAGCACTGACTTGAGAAAAAGGGAGAGATCTCGATAGACGCAGAGAAGACATCTCGGCTCAGCAACGGGCAATGGGTCACAGCAGCCGCTATGCTCGTCCTTGACAACAGGCAGAGGTGAGGCTAGCTGGACAAGCAGCAGCAGCAGCAGTCTAAATTTAAGATCAGGTCAAGGAGTTGAGAACGGCACAGAAGCAATGAAGCTGTTCCAATGGGTTGACACACCCACCTGCCAAGCTTTGAAAGCCGAGCCAAGCTGCACTTACTCACAAGACTCGTAGGCCTTGTGAGATTGCGCATGCGCAGGAGCTCATTGCATCAGGGAGGATGTGCCTGTTCCCAGCAATGGGAGTACTGCTGGGTCCTGGGTGACCAGGTTGTGCCCCTCCCTTCTGACTCTCCATCCCTAGTGGTGGACTGATGCCTCCCGCTGTCCCTTGGGTTCTATTGGTGCTCTCCTCCCTCCAGGACAGAAGAGGGGAGATGGGAGTCCTGCTTCCCCAGCAGGGGACAGTATCCACCTCCTCCAGCCTCTGTACCCCACTCTCAGCCCCTCCCATGTCATCCTCCAGTTACCCCTCCATACCTGTCACTGCGTGGTACTCCACTCCTGAGCCAGGAGACACCTCGAGACTCATGACAACTCCCAGCTTGGTTTGATGTGTGTCGCTTGGTGGGAGAGTGTGGAAGGAAAGTTGCTGGCTGCCGCATGGTAAAAGCCAGGGTGTGTGTGTCTGCACTACCTCAGGTGGAAGATGGGGTGAGGTCCTTGGATACTGAATATGAGGAGTCTCGGAACCAAACCACTTGATACAGGTGCATCATCTGGAACAGAGTGGTGCATCCTATGCTAGCCTTCCTTTTTCGTATTCTGCTTAGCTTCAGTTATTTAATGACATTGGTTTCTTTGTATTGTTTCATTTAAGCTATTCAGTTAGCTTAGCTTATCTGTATTGTTTTACACAACACTATGGATTATTATTTTTGGTACTTATTTATAGCTGTTCCTAATGTGCTTTGAATATATACAAATTGTTCATTTGATAAACTGTGAGATACTTTGGCCACATTTTGGGGGGTGGGGAGGTGGCATTCAAATAAACTGAAACACTGATGGCATTGCTGTGACTCTTAAGAACATATTTATGTTTCCAGGGCCTTTAGTGGGCTGTTGTGACCTTAATTCTGCTATGGGCCAACAGCTACATTTTTTAAAAAACCTTTATTGAATTTTAAGTTGCTTATGCTTTTAGAGTTACTGAACACAAGCCTTGAAACTTGACATGCAAAGAGGTTGAGAAACGTTTTGATAAATAAATAGCAGAAAAATATCCCACAATTCTAGCACCATGGAGACAGTGGACAACAGATGGGAACCATCAAACATACTAATCATCCATAATAGGCCACTTTTGAGAGGCCATTCCTTTGAGGGAAGACAGATGTATGCATGCGTCATAAAGAGAGCTTGATTTATCTAATAAGAAGGGTCAAGACTCAGGCCCCAAACCTGGGGAAGACACAGCCTTTGGGGCCTCAAGATGATTGTGACTACAGCTCTCTCATCAACCCTCAGCATCACACAGCCGTGCGGGCAGGGGCTGATGGGAGATGCAGTCCAAAACATCTGGAGGGCATCAGGATGGGAAGGCTGTCATAGGCTCTGGCTACTCAATGGCAACAGAAGCATCACATGTCCATGCTCAGAACACCTTTTATCAATACAGTTTCATGTGGGGTCGCCTTTCTCCATATATGCCCGCTTAACCACTTCTATCTGCAAAACGGACACTTAGCACATTTATTGTAGCATCTAATATGGCAAAGTTCAAGTACTAGAGAACAGACTGTGCTCTAAGTTCAATCCAGGTAGGTCTACGAAAGAAACGCCCTGGCTGAGAGCTGCAGAAAGCTGTGTTTCCTTAAACAATGCAGGGCTGGATAAGAGTACCTGGGCTAGTGTAACTCAGCAGGGCAGTTTCATATGTTCAAGAAAGAAATCCACATGCCAAAACAGAATGTTTGAGAAATTCCAACGGAAGCTGATCCAATTCATTATTCTTCAGATTTTCACACTCCTCTGAATTTTGCAATACAGTTCTTTGTTCATAAAAGCACCGAACTGTGTAGTTTTAGAATAAAATACATTCAAAAACATATGCATGGAGCTAAAATGTGTCTTTTAATACACATCTTCATGTGGGTTCCTTTGCAGATTAACGAGGGACTTATGGATGAGCAGGTGCAAAACCGAGAACAGATCACAAACAAACTGATCCACCTATCCCTACTCAAAACACATGTACTGCAGATGGTAACAAACCTCCAAGGCGGGGGGAGAGAGAGAGAGAGAGAGAGAGAGAGAGAGAGAGAGAGAGAGAAAGAATCTGGAATGTGAGAGACAGAGAGGATGATGGTTGGGTAGCAGGTCAGAAGGGGGCAAAACAGGACTGGGGAACCTCAGGCCATCTAGGCCTCTGTATCTGGATTCTCCCCAGGACACACTGCTGACTGGGCCTGCACCACACGCTTCCTGGGTTTATAGAAGAGGTGAACAAGAGGTGAAATGATAGACATTTATAAAATGATGCATGGCAAACTGTGGAAATTACTCCCTCCGGAGGCAGCAATGGCCACCAACCTGGAGGGCTTGGGAGGAGGATTGGCCAAATTCATGGAGGAGGCTATCAACAGCTACTAGATATGCTCTGCCTTCATGGTTGGAGATGACAATGCTTCTGAACACCACTTGTTGGAAACCACAGGTGGGGAGAGTTGGGCCCTGCTCCTACTTGTGGGTTTCCTACAGGCGTCTGGTTGGCCACTGTGAGAACAAGATGTTGGACAAGGTGGACCACCTGATCCAGCAGGCTCTCCTTATGTTCATAAATAAAATGAGTCATCCCTTCTGTGGCCAGGGATTGCCAACTGTTCCCATTTTGGGGAAGTGCTCAGTATCCCAGGCTTGTTCCCTCCATCCCAAAGGGTTGATGCCACCTATGCATGTTGCCTTAGCCATCACAGCTCCATCTGGGCCCATCTTTTCACCCCACACAGTGGCATGGAAGCTGCCTTTAGATGAGCTCTGCCCGAGCAGCAGAAACCGCACGTAGACATGGGGGCCCTGTGCATAAGTACGCCTGTTTCCATGAGGATTTACTCAGTCCTATTTGAATATCACATAAGCAGGTAAAAGATTAAAAAAATATAATCACATCTATAAAACATCCTGTTTTAGAAGACTATTGTGGCTGCTGCTGCTGCTGCAGAGGGTCCCTGCGCTCTTTTATGTTTCAAGTAACACAAATTTGGGATGTAGAAACTGGTGTCTGAGCGAAAGCTCTTCCCATTAAAACAAATCCCTCAACCAACATCTTCGTGTTCCTTGGCTCCCCTAAGGGCCCAGCTCTGCAGGGGGAAGAGCTCCTCTCTCTTCCTGGTATGAAGAGACTTGAAGGCACTCAGCACCTGGAAGGATCAGCCCACACTATTCATCCGTTTGAAAATCGCAACTCAAACAGTCCCCCTTCTTGCTTCGATCCCATTGCTATTTCATTGCTCTCTCTCCATATTTCCCCTCTTCTGCAGCAGTAGCAAAGAAGTTCCACATTGCTCCCCTAAAACATTCTACTTTCCTCTATGTCTCCATGGCAGTCTTGTCATTGGACAACAACTCCCATTATTCCCAGCCAGATGCTCTGTCACCAAGCTATGACTGCCCTTTCCCTCTCAAGCAACCAGGGCTGAAAAGAAAGCAGAGGTTCTTTTTGTCTGGCCAGAGGGAGGAGAGTGTATGTGAGCAAGACTGTGTGTATATAGGTATCATCTGAATGTGTATGTGTATGAACTGTATGTCCACACACACATGGCTTGAGATTATAGCCATGTCCACTTCTTCTTGGACATGCCCACCTTAGATATGTGGCCCCCAGAGCAGAAAAGGCTCTTTCATTCCTGGGCTAAAGCATTTCGGTAGCAATGGCTGTCAACTTCAATGGTTTTAAAGGGAGATTAGGCAAATTCAAGCTTTCAAGGGCTGCTGGGCAGAGAGGCTACCTCAAATAATGGGGGAAGATGGTTGCACTCATACGCTGCCTCTCTGTGTAATTCCCAGCCCCGGTCTGCATCGCACATTGAAAGCAGTATCACACCACTTTAAACAGGCATTTATTTATTAATTAATATGTACATGCCGCCTGAAAAACTCAAAGCCAATTACAAAAAAGATAAAACAATAAAATCATTGCTAATAAATTTACATGGTTTCCCTCAAGGAATCTTGTAGTTTGCGATGGGTGCTGAGACACATTAGGGAACCCCTATTCCCCTCACAGAGTTATAATTGCCTAGGAAGAGAGATTTGTTTTTATACAACTTTGGGAAATGCAGCTGTGTATGAGGAATGGGTGAACAGGGATCACCTCACAACTCTCAGCACCCTTAATGAACTACAGCTCCCAGGATTCTTCGGGGGAAGCCATGACTGTTTAAAGTGGTGTCATGCTGCTTTAAATGTATAGTGTAGCTGATTGGCGGAAATGACTGGCAGAATCCGTGACCAGGGAGAAGAGTCGATGGAGGAAGATTGGAAGAAATTCAAAGACTATCTTCAGAAACACTGCAAAATTAAGGAATGTTAGAGTGATGTTGGATTGAAAATAGGTGGTTTCCAGCTGTACAGGTTAAAGCTAGGATAGATTAAGATTAAAGATTAAGATTGGGAAAAATTTAAAGGTATATGATATTAAGAACAAGGATTATGTTTGTGTTATATAGTTTAATATTTTATTAAATTAAAGATTGGGTTTAAAAAAGTGGAAAAGAAATTGCTGGACAAATAATGTAGATTGGAATACAAAAGAGGGAGGTATGAGGAAGTCCAGAAAATAAGTAATTCAAAATTGGGAATGTAAAAGAGAGTTTGTTTTAAATTGTTATGTTGTGTGTTTTTATTGTTAAATTTTGTATTTTTTTTTGTGTGTGTTGTTTTTTCTTTTTTCTTTGTTTAAAACTTTAATAAAAATTATTAAAAAAAAAAAAATGTATAGTGTAGCTGGGGGCCCCAGAGGCATACGGCCTGCTCTGCCTGAAAGCAGAGTGCTGGAACAGGCAGACCCATGGTCTGGACCGGCATGGGTTTATTTGTGTCATCTCACATCAAGCACCCAGATGTTCATGTCCCACAAACGCGGCAAGAGTCTGCACCGCTTTCTGTTTCACAGTCCTCACCCACACTTTGCACTCAGAAGGGCTCTGTGCATTATCAAAAACCCAACTTGTGGAGGAGACAGTCTTGCTGCAAAACACATTCAAAGCCCAACTATCAAGAAGTAACGCTGCGTCTCTTGCATTTTTACAGTGACCTCGGGACATGATTTCCAGCAAAGTGCACCTTATCTTTCTCTCTCTTTATACCTCCTCCAGGAGACTGCCAGATGCAAGGATTAAAACAAAAAAATCAATAAGGGAGAAGCCCTTTTCTTTTGAGCAGAAACTGAATGTTGTAAGTGAACACACCGACAAAACACTTTCAGCTGGCTTTGCCTGCTATACAAAAAAACCTGATCTGCTTCCACCAGAAGCATCAGTTCCAGATTGTTTTGGAGGTGGGGAGGGAAGCAGGGCTCTTGGGCAAGCACCACCCTGCGTTCCTTGCCACTTCCACCACAGCCCATTCAATGTCCCCTTCACTATGCACCCAATCCCCAGCACTGCACAGGAGGAGACGTCAATGGAAACCAAGGGTGGGAGCAGGATTATCCTTCCTCTGATTGTCAACATTGCTCACACCCTTGGAGAGGAGAACAGGCAGCAGTGGCAAGAGGGGTGAAAAGGGCTTTGGGGGGAACCTTTTGAGAAGTGAGACTCGCCCTATCTGCATAGCCCCACCCCCTCATCTGCATAACAAGACCAAGGCTCCATAGCTTGGTCACCTTAGAGTGTGAAGGACTGATAGGGATTTGGCTTTTATCACTGAGACAAGGACAGAGCCTGTATAGGTAGGTTGGCTACATCAAACAACATTCTGCCATGTCAAAGCCTGAATACAGTCATACCCTGGAAGTTGAACGGAATCCGTTCCGGAAGTCCGTTCAACTTCCAAAACGTTTGAAGCTCCTGCAGCCAATCAGAAGCTGCGGAAGCCCCTCGGACGTTCGGCTTCCAAAAGAACGTTCGAAAACCAGAACACTCACTTCCGGTATATCAAAAATTAATGATTTGGTTATACTATCAGAAATACAAAGACAGGTAATTATGAAATTATTGTTTATATTTGGACAACTTTTCTGCTGTTCTTTACTGGAAGGAGAAAAACAATCATTTCCTTAATAACAATTTAAACAATTTTTTAAACTAAAACAATAACATTATAGCATATGTATCCATGTCTGTTAACTGACGTGGTTAAACGAGTTTTAAAAAACCAAAAACTTACCAACTGAGTTTTAGCACACATGAAAAAAATTAAACAAATCCTTATTTCCTGATGAATAGCCTTTGGACTATAATGTAACTTAAATAGAAAACTATCTTTAGAAAGATTTTTCCTCCAAAAGCATTTTATTTTAAAAATCCGATTTAAATTTTAAAAATCTGATTTATCAGATTTAAATAATTTTAAAAATCTGATTTTTATTTTTTAATTTTTTAAATCATTGATTTTTATCCACCCTGCACAGAGTAGATGCTTTCTGGTGGTTACTTGAAGACGCAAATCATCAAGCATGGGGCCATACATGGAAGGACAATCCCCCAACAACTTATACATATATATTTATTTCGGTAACTTGGTATACATCACCCCACTGACTTTGCCACACATTCACTTGAACACAAGCTAAAGCCCCTTTCATGATCTATAAGGGATGGTGGGAAACTAAACAAGCAGGGCTGGTGAGTGCCAATTGTGGCTCCTGCACAGGAGGGCATTTTCTGTTCAGGTGTGATGCTGGAACACAGTGGGGATGTGGAGTGGCACTGGGTAATCAGGACAGATTGGGGATCATACTGGTTCACAACCCAGCAGCCCTGGGTAATGCCACTGCCCATTTTGGGACCCACTGTTCTTAACATTGTGCTTTAATTGTTGAAAGCTGCCCTGGCTTGGCATGAAGGGCAGGTGAGGAATTTGATGATGGTGGTGAGCATTGACTGGGATGTCTAGATGGACATGGGAGACAACAAGTCAGGCAGACGCAGATGCACATGCACCACTCAAAGACCTCAGCCTGGGGGTAGTGGTGTTGGCACAGCAAAAGCTGCCCTTTGAAATCCAGGAGGAGCTGCAGAGGCAAAGAGAAGTTGATCCCATTGACAGTGGCTACCTCCTGCTGCCTACAAAGCTCAGGAGGCCCAGAAGGGCAGCAACCAGGCATGGATGTGGCAGTAGTGCAGACCTCTGGAAACTTCCAGCCACAGGCACCAGCCTCCTAGGCCAGGATGATGACACATCAGGAACGAAGGACCAGTTGACTAAGCAGCATCAGCCCCTCTCTTCCTGCAAGCCCTTGCCCATCTGCCAGAAAAAGGGAGAGGAAAGTGCCCCCATCCCCAGTGCTCAAGTCCTGCTGAATACAATGGAATTTCCTTCTGAGTAAATTGTCTGCAATGGAAGCTAGCCATTTTTGTGGCCTTATCTACAGCAGCTGTCACAAACTGGTGCCCTCTGGCTGTGTGGAGGGCACCAGGTTGGGGAAGTCTGATTTGCAAGGCTGCCTTAGAAGCCACAATCCCAGGCCTCAAATCTGCAGTCTAGAAAACCAGTTCCACAACGAAACGCACGAGTCTGGCAGTGCGACCTTATTGCCAAAATAATATAAATCTGAAACCGAGCCACGTTACCTTTCTCTGACCTTTGAACAGCAGAAACTCAAAATCCAATGCACTGTGATGTGCCTGTGTCTCTCCCCCCGCCCCCCGCCAACTGGGTTTAAACAAATGGTGTGTGAGTGTGTGTGAAATCATATGTTTGTTATGATGGCTAAGCTGGTCTCTTCTCGCTTCTCCAGAGGCCCTCATTCCACTGATTTCCTTGTGTTGCAGCACGGAGCAAGGGCGGCCATCTTTGGCCCCGGGGGCAGGAATTGCTCCATTCAGCACGGCCTGCCTTTGCAGCACTCAAATTGTCCTAATCTCATGCTTTTAACTCTGCACTTAACAGGGTGGGTTTTTTGTCATTTAATTTGTCTTCATATTTCTGGAGTTCTCAGATACTAATTGCGCAGGTATATACGTTACCTAAGTATTTCCAGGTGATGCTACTAAGCAACTGAAATAGAACGTGTGTTGTTGTTTTTTAATAAAAAAATTTGAGGTTTTCTGTATTTCCCCTTCTACCCTTTTGCCTAACTGCCTGCCCACCCCTTCCATGTTTTGTTCCTATTGTCCTCTAGGAAACTCTTTACATCGCTGACCTTTACATGAGAACTCCCTAAAGGCTTTCTCCCTCAACTTGAATTGGATCGAGTCCTCCACAGCCCCTTCTCTATTGAAACAGAACATGGCTTCCTCAAGAAAAGCACATTCTAAGAAACGGGAGTTGTGTGTGCATGTGTGAGAGATGCATCACGATTTAAAAATGACAAATAAAGCCTTTCAACTTAAACTTGTTACACCGCACTGCAATCAAGATTCAGAAAGCTGGCTGCCGTGGCTGCAGAGGTTTCCAAGTCCCTCCCGTCCCATTCGCAGGCTACAGATTGGTTTAAAAAACATTAGGAATATGTGATAATAAAACAGCAACACAAACACAGAGCATGTCTGCAATTATTTAGCAACTGCCACCAGTGAATTTATCCACCTAGATAAATTATCATATGTGTGAGAGTGTGTTCGTAATATGCGCCGAGTTGTTTGTGGGGTTTGGGTTTCTTATTTTTTATTTAAAAATGTCGCCTTTGATGCTGCTAGAGCCTTCACAGGTTTTTTTCTCTCTCAGAGCAATCACAGTCTGTCATGTAAATCTCCACCCAGGTGTCAATGTGTAATATGGCCTCTTTTGTGTTAGGAAGGGTGAAAACATGAATGAGAAACCCAGAGGAGACGGCTCCGAGACACCAACGCTCTGATGTGTTGCCTTGTAAAACACAGCATTAGCCTGGCAACTCTGGAATGACACTCTTGGGAGAGCTGAGCTCAGAGAGAGGCCAGAACTAGCTCTTGGAACCTCTTTGTGCGCACCACTGAAATGAATGGTACCTGGATAATGAATGTGCACAAGTTTAGCAAGGGAGGAATGAATGGGACCCTCTTGTGAACATAGGAAGTTGCCTTAAAAGGAGTCTGATGCTTGGCCCTCCCAGCTCAGCGTTGTCTACGCAGGTGGGCAGCAGCTCTCCAGTGGTTCAGAAAAAGAAGCCTTCCCAGCCATACCTAGAGATGCTGCCAGAGGCTGGACCTCAGACATTCTGGATGCAAAGCAGGTGCTCTACCACTAAGCTACAGCCCTTCCCCAGGTAATCTCTACTCATTTCCATGGTGTTTGCTTAGGTGTGGGCTCCTGGTGGCCTGGATGATGCCTCAAGCAGAATGGAGCTCATTCATTTTAACTAGATCCTTGTGGAAAGCATGGTGAAACCCCCTTCCCCCCAGATGTGATATTGCTTTTTAAAGGTCTTCAAACCATAGTACGGGGTGGCAGGGGGACCCTGGGGTTCCTCAGAAACTTATGAGGGTCTCCTGGATTCTGCAGTTGCAGAAAGCTTGCGGAATGTTGACGCACCTTCAGTTCAGACTGGGGAGCACGATACCTTGTGCAAACCAAATGTGTGTTCTAGAATAGAGGTAGCTGGATTTAGAGAAAGACAACATGGCTCCAGAGGTACAGTTGCCCAGGTGTGTGTGTGTTTCTGCAGCAGGCTCCCTGTCTCCAGCATCCTAGTGCCACTCAATCAGCATGAAAGGGGTGCTTTTTAGCCACGAATAACTCTTCTCACCCTTTGTGCTGATTGGAGGCACTCAAGGTGAAAGCAGATGCGTCAGCTGCTGAGGATGGTCTACTAGGGTCACTCTGGAGAAGTACACCGAGGAGGAAAGCTATGTATGCTCCAACACGGAGCATTTAGGAACACTAAAAACACAAGGGCTTCAGATTCAAGAAAATGGTGTGCAAATTCTGTAAAGTACAAAGGGACTTCAAGGAAAACACAACTTAAGTCGCTCCGAAGTTAGATATGGGAGGACTCCAAAACATTTGCTTATGTACATGCACAGAAAATGGTAGATCTAGCTGAGTGGCCACACGTGGAGATCTACATTGACCACTGCAATGCACCCCAAATTATTACTATTGTATAATCTTAGAAGGTTGTCTCATCTTGTCTGCAGACATCTTTGCAACACAGAATTGGTCTGCCAATGGGTCTGGTGCCTGAAGCCAGCTCCCCATAGAGCACATCCTTGGGGAGCCTGCCATCTTCCATTCTGTAGACATGGAGAAGCCAGCATCTCTATTGTCTCCCAAGACAGATAAGACAACAACAATGAGAAGATTGTATAATCTTAGAAGCGGGTGTGGTTATGAGGGTGTGTGGCTGTGACTATCACAAAGGGACTCTGCACTGTTGAATCTTCCACTACATGGCTGCATGATGCCTCGTCCCCATTCCATCTGCAGAAGCCAAGTGGACTGGGAGTTAACTCTTACTTCAACTGCTGGTGATAGGACAGCTTTTTGCACTACATCTGAGGACATCAGGATAACATAGGGGCAGAACAAGGGCAGTCTGCACATAACAGCACATACAGCTCTGACCCCTTTCAAAGGGAAACAGCCACAGGTGGGACCAGCTCAGGAAGAATGCCTGGGCAGGGGGGCTACCGCTTCCGTCCCCTTCATACCCAGAGGCAGTAACCTCAATCTGCCTAGTGGTAGGACCCATCCTAACCCTAGAAACCTCTGCACCTCATCCATGGTCCTACAGCAGACCCATTTACATGGCTGACAGGTAAATGGAGAAAATGTTTCCCAAAGGTATAAACTTTGAGAGCTACCACTTTACATGAGGAAAGCAGAAATGTTGAAATTTCAGCTCTGGTGTTTTATGTTACAATTATTATTATTTATGTAGCACGTAATAATAATAATAATTATTATTATTATTATAAAAGAACACAAAGACACACACAAAAATGTAACAGAGGAAAAAGTAATAGAGTTGTAGCTTAAAGGAATAACCAATGTAGCAAATTACAATCTTTCCATGGCACTTTTGAGAGCTCAAGGTGGTTCATGCCCTTTATCTAGGTAAAACTTTAAAACAATCTTGTAAGGCAGATCCATATTATCATCTCCACCTTGGACATGAGGGTAGATTTAGCTATGGCTCAACTAAGATCATCTTGGGAATTTCACATTAAACCATAGCTGAAAACAAACTATTAGTTGATCGTGAATGAGCAGTGCGCTGGTGCAGGCTGCTCAAAAGTTCCCACAGTGCTGCTCCCCTGCTGCTGCCGCCATACTACAGACAAAACAAACCTTATTCTTCTGTCCAAACCCGGGCTTGTGCTTTGCTTGGATGAAACAATGAACGGCAAGCTGAGAACGAACTCTGTGGTTTATTTGGAGTGACACAAACCACAAGCCTGGATGACACAACATGCCAGATTGTGGCTTGTTTCATCCACCGCACAGCAGCAACTGGGGAGACGTGCTGTGGGAGCTTCTGAGCAGCGCATATCAGTACGCTCCCCCTTCACATTAAATCGTAGCTTGTTTTAAACCATGGTTTAACGTGATGTGTGAAGTAGGCCAGAATGCTGACTGATGGGTAAGAACGTAGGGAGGAGCCTGCCAGATTAGGCCAGTGGCCCATCTAGTCCGGCATCCTGTTCTCACAGTGGCCAACCAGATCACTGAGGGAAGCCCAAAAGCAGGATGTGAGCACAATAGTACTTCCCCTTCCTGTAGTTTCCAGCAACAGGTTTTCAGAAGCATTTACTGCCTCCGGCTGTGGAGACAGAGCACAGCTATCGTGGCTAGTAGCTGTTGATAGCCTCCTCCTCCACTATATTGGTGGCCAGCACTGCCTCCTGTGGGAGGCAGTTCCGTAGTTTTAACTCTTCATTGAATGAACTAGTACTTTCTTTCATCTGCCCTGAATCTTCCACCAGATTCTTAGTTTCTGGTGTTCTGACACGCACATGCGGCTGAATCGGGAGAAGCGATGGCTTGGACCAGAGGTTTAAACTTGTGGGCCCCCAGTTGTCCTTCGTGCTGAGCAGTGGCTAGATGGAGTCTAACAACATCTGGATGAGCACTGGTCCCTTATGATGGTAAGCTTGGCATTCTTGACATGAAAAGTAGCTTCACTTGCTATTAATGCAATGGAACTAGCTTCTTTAAAAATCTGGTCAAACCAGCCAAACTGTGCTTTGATTGTGACACAATTAATTCATTCCTGGTGAAGTATGATAAGCCAACCTGGCGTGTTTTGGCAAAACAGCCTGACAAAGATGGTACGTTATGGGGAACAGACTGAGGGATGGACCTGTTCATTCACATCCAAAATGTGTTTTGAATATTCCAGAGCCATCAATTATGGGTTACCAGGCAGTACACCCTCTTCCTCTAGAGTAGCTCACTCTCAAGTTTGAGGAAATTAGCAAAAGCCTGTTTGGGAACATGATTTTATTTAATTAATTTATATACCTCCCTTCATGTGAAGATCTCAGAGCAGTTCATAACTGGAGACTGCTGTTTTTGCTCTTTACTGCCTATTTATTAATTGCTCTGTTTTACTGAATTGTGGTTCTATTTCCATATATTTTCAGAAATTTGACTCCTCCTCCCCTTCACCTCCAAATCCCAGAAGATTGGGTTAATTTTCAGGGTATGATGGACTAAATATGTGAGGTTGGTTAGGGGAATTTCATCCTGATATTCCAAGTGGTAGTGCCTTTATGCTGTATGATCTAATAACAGGTAACAACTGGAAGATCTGATTAACAGAAATCAGGTAAAATGGAGAAAGGCCCTCAGCACTCTAAATATTATATTTCCAGCAAACATCTGACAATAACATTGAGATTTGCAACAATAATAACATTGAGATTATGGACTAACTAACATCTCTGAAGGCATTATGAATGGATCAATAAAGTATAAGGGGCCAATTGCCTGTGCTTTATAAATCATTATGAGAGGCAGAAGACACAGAAAACAGAACGAAGCAGATGCGAGAGGGAAGTCCGATTTCTTGCTGCAATCCTGCATGCACACTCCTGGAAATAAGCTGCACTGTGCAGAGTGGGAGTTACTTTTAAGTAAACATGCATAGGGTCACACTGGGGCTGGGCAACCATTACAGGATAGGTGCCCATCACAGTAAACCATTAGTGCCCATCACAGTAAACTGTGGTCAATGGGATACACCAAACACAGAGATCCTTTCCAAGAGCAACAAACAATTTGCTCAGATAAATCATGACTGGCAAGCCAAGTATAAACCTTGGCTTAATGTTGTGGTTTGGCCGAAGAAAAACAAAGCACAACCCCTGGTTCAGATGTAATGCTAAGCCAGGAGTCATAGTCTGTCGCTCTGATGGTAAACTACTAACTATTGTTTACCGTGATGTAAAAATGCTGTCTTTGTACGAAAGGTAATACATGTAAGATTTAATGTTGTTAACAGTTATTGTTCTTTAAAACTCCTGTTATTTATTATTATTACTACCTTAGCTCACCGTTCGCTTTCAGGCTGATGAATTCTTTAAAAATAGAATTTCATGAGTTTGCCCTTTAGAGGGATTAGGGAATGACTGGGTTGTATCTACAGCCAGGCCTACTCAGGGTAGATCCATTGAAAGCAACGGACATGAATAACATCAGTTCTGTAATTCCAGCAGGTCTACCCTGAGTAGAACATAGCTGCATACAGCCCTACATTATAATTTATTATACATTGCCTTTGTTGTGCACAATGCCTGACAGAGTACACAAGTCAGGTCCCAACTCCAAGGGGCCTACAATCTAAAATTTGACACAAGGGAAACCATAGAGAAAGGAGAGAGAGGTGGAGATAGAGGTGATGAAGGGAAAGACGGGCAATTATTTCAGTTACACATGCTTAAAAAATATTAAATACTAAATAAAATTATTGGACGTAAAACACCTTTCAAGACCAGGAGCAAGCCATCTCTTTTAAGGGTTTTGATAAATCCAAAAACCCAAGATTTACTTGGGACTTTACTGGAAAGATAATTTCCTGTCCTATGCAAGTTTACTTGTAAGTAAGACCCAAGGAGCTCAGTAAGAGTTATTCCTGGATGAGTATATATAAGGACTGCAGCTACAGGCAATGCATCTGTCCCCAGTGGGGAAAATAAAAATCCCACTCAACTCAGCAGGGCTTAATTACAAGTAGTTCAGGCTGGATATTTTTAACTGTCAAGGCACTCTAACTGAAATTTAGGTTATAATGGAGATGGCGAGCAATGTAGGTGGGGATGCGGGAGGAAAGTTAAGTGCCCTGGACCTGGATCAAGACTTGCATATATTCCAGTTTTACTTCCCAGAGGGCTTTTTCCTTATTGCCCAATTAAGTGCATGTGCGTAAGAACTTAAAAAGTTAGGAGAATCCCTCCCACCTTATTTCTTCAAACAGACGCCTTCACCAACCACATAGGAACCTTAAGCATTGTTACCTTTCTTTCAGTCTGCAAAAGCTGGTGACAGAATCATTGAATCGTAGAGTGAGAAGGGGCCTCCTGGGTCACCTGGTCCAACCCCCTGCAATGTAGGAATCACACCTGAAGATTCCCTGACAGATGGCCACCCAACCTCTGCTTAAAAACCTCCGATGAAGGAGAGTCCACTGCCTTCTGAAGGAGTCCGTTCCACTGTTGAACAGCTCTGACGGCCAGAAAGTTCCTCCTACACTTTAGTAAAAAAATCTCCTTTCTTGTCATTTAAACCCACTGTAGGTCTCAATGAAAATGAGTTGGCTTCCATCTAGGTCATGAAAGGTGTTGCTAAGAAGCTTAGTCTCTGTGACATTTTAAATATCCTCTAGCAACTACATATTTATCTGGGAAGGTGAACCAAGCCAAGGTTTAGAGGACGCAGGCAAGACCTTTCTTTAAAATGAGTGTGGGGAGCCACTGGTCCTCTTGCTGTTACTGAACTACAATGCCCATCAACCTCAGCAAGAACAGCCAAGGATGATGGGAGTTGTAGTCCAACAACATCTGGAGGTCCAAAGGTTCCCCACATCTGCTTCTGCATTATTAACAGGAGTGACTCTCGTCTGTTGTGCCAAGAGGTATGAGAAAACCTCAGGATAAGCTGAGGTCTCCCTCCCTCCCTGGTTCCTGATACAAAGCCAGCCAAAGTGTGTATCTGCTAACTGGCTGTCATAGAGCTCTGGCGGAGAACAGAAGAAGAGCCTGCTGGGTCAGGTAAATGCCCCATCTATTCCAGCATCCTGTTCTTACAGTGTGCAACCTGTGAGGAATGTGAAAGGATTCAAGCTCAAGAAACCTCTCCCCGTCCTGTGGTTTCCAGCAACTGGTATTCAGGAGCATTGTTGCTTCCTAAGAGAAGATGCTTGCCTGAAGACCCTATTTGCATACCACACACCTTTGTGATCACCACCCATGAGAAGCCTGAAGTCCTGCAAGTCCTCTCCCTCTCCACCCCTGTTCTAGGAAAACCCCTTCTCTCGTATTTCCAAACACTGGAGGACCAAACCCCAAACATAAAACCATGTTGAGTCCTTCTAAACCGCAAGCAGTTTGTTTGTTTGTTTACAGTGGTACCTCGGGTTAAGAACTTAATTTGTTCTGGGGGTCCGTTCTTAACCTGAAACTGTTCTTAACCTGAAGCACCACTTTAGCTAATGGGGCCTCCCGCTGCTGCCACCGCGTGATTTCTGTTCTCATCCTGAAGCAAAGTTCTTAACCAGAGGTACTATTTCTGGATTAGCGGAGTCTGTAACCTGAAGCGTCTGTAACCCGAGGTACCACTGTACTGCATTTATGTGTCACCTTCCCCCCTCCAAAGTGTGCAGGGTGGTGTACATGATTCTCCTCCTCCTCATTTAATCCCCACAACAACCCTACGAGGTAGGTTAAGCTGAGAGACAGTGACTGGCCCAAGGTCAGTCCAGTGAGCTTCATAGCTGAGTGGGGATTTGAACCCTGGTCTCCCTAGTCCCACACTCTAACCACTACACCATACTGGCTTTGCTCCACCTCCCTGCACCCCTAATTCTCCTTTGCCCCCCTCAGTGCTTATCAATTTTATACTTAATCAGTTAAGGCTCAAGGCGACCCAGTAAAGAATAGGTTCCTCTCAGCTCCCTGTCACAGAGGAGATTCCTTTGCCTTGAAGTCCAAGTTGGCTTTCACCTTTACATGATCAGGGCAAGAAGTCAAGAGACTCCTGGTGTATTTTGGCTACCTAATTCTAAGGGAGACTGCTAAGTGGTTCTTCTTATCCTTGCACCTGGGAAGTGTATCAATGCCTCTATGAGCCACTGAAAGAGGATACAAACATATGCTCCCCTCTGGAATAGGCAAAATCTCTGGCTCTTCCTCTCTCACCTGCTCCTAACCCATTCTTTACCTCTCGGTCTACGTCACTAATGAGATTTCCCACGCTACCCTGGTTAGATGGTACTTTGCACCTAGAACGTTTTCACTTTTCCAATTTGCTGGCTTTTATGTCCACTGTACATTTCCCCTCCTCTTCCTTATTTGGCTAAAGAGTCACTGGTCTCTCCTTCTGAATTATCCTAAAATCGCTGCTCCTTCTCCATTCTTTCTCTCTCACCTCTTGCTTATTAACTTCAAGCACCCCTGCCTCTGGAGTTTTAACGACAGAGCTGCCAATTGGGTTCAATGCTCTGTATGCATTACTATTTTTATTGCATTGGTTATTGTTATGATCATCATTAAGAATATATTTTCGTTGCATTACTCCAAAACGACTCAAAGCAACGTACAATCACAACAGAAATATTAGCAATAAATATTAAAAGCCTAAAAAATCCAAACAAACACATCTATACAAACAAAAGGCAGGGCTAGAAGATCCTGTCCCACCAAAAAAGACCACATTCACATAAAAGCCTCTTCATCTAAGTGCCAAAACAAACGCCCAGGTAAACAGGGAAGTTTTTGCCTAGTGCCTAAACTAGACAGAGGGCACCAGGAGAGCCTCCCTATGGAAAGCATTCTACAAGAGGGGAGTCACCACTGAGAAGGTGCTTTATACCAGGGGTGGGGAACCTGTGGCCCTCCTAACGTTGTTGGATTCCAACTCTCATAAGTTCCAGCCATCATGGTCAAGGGTCAGGGATGGTGGGGCTTGGAAGTCCAGCAAGATCTGGATTGCTGGAGGGATCTCATTTTCTCCTCACAGCAACCCTGTGAGGTAGGTTAGGGTGAGAGAGTATGGCTTGCCCATGGATGGATTTGAATGCAGAGCTCGCTGGGACAAGCCCACATCCAACCCGACACGAGGGTAAGAAGTGTGACCTGCCTTGAAGGTTTGTTTCCTGAGATAACGTTATCTCACAAACATCCTAAGAGATTATTATTTTATTTATTTATTTCATAAAAATTTACACACTACTTAATGGAGGGGGTGGTGGTTAACCATCAAAGCAGCAGCTTACAAAAAAAAAGAGATAAAACAATAAAATAATCAATAAGAAAAAACTAACAGCAGTAATTAAAAACTTTCAAGAAGCTAAGATTACAACAGACTAAAAAAGACTGGTGCTTGCATCAACTTTCTCAACACCTCCGTAGGCTTCTCTAAATGAAAAAGCTTTTAGCAGGTCATGACAAGAGTACATTAAAGCACTTGCTTGATGTTAATAGGCAGGGAGTTCCAACGTCTTTACAAATGCAGAATGGGTATTTTGTGGCACCTATATCAGTTCCAGTACAACTGCTTGAAGAGGTTAATTGGGAACATATGGGGTAAGGCGATGTCGTAGGTATCGTGTGAGAAAGATTCATCCTTCATCGTTTAGCTCCAAATAACAAAAGCAAAGTACAGAGTGGGTAACGTGCAACATATTTTGCTAATGTATCAAGAGAACAAAGGAAGTACACAAACCACCTCTGAACTTCTATGAACTCTTAGGTTGCTACGCTTAGTGCAAACATCAAATTACATTGTCAGTAAGTCTGCTACTTAGCCATCATGCGAATACAGGAAGGGAGTATCTGTGCCCTGTGATTCCCTCCTAAACCTCCCTCCCTCTACTCAAAAACTGGGCCCAGTTCCCACTTTGGAACCAAGAAAAAAAAGGGGGGCCTCTAGGGAAGAATCAGTGGAAGGGTTAAGCTCCCCCTGCACTGCCACCACCAATTTGGCCCTGCAAATGCCCTTCCTGCTGCTAACCATGAATATTAAGATACAGTGTCCTGCTAGGGCATGTCATTTTAGGGGATGAAATTTAATTTTTGCAAATTTCTTCAGTGAGGAGTCTGGCTATTCAAATCTGCTATTATTTTTGTGACTGGACAACATTTAGCTTGGTAAATCTATGTTTGATTGAAAAGCATATTAACTGCTCTTGGAAAACCAAAGCATTTTCATGATACCTTTTGAAAATGTCAGGTAATGCTAAATGATAACATAACATAACATAACATAACATAACATAACATAGCAAGTTCTTGGCTATCATTTTTAATGATTTCTATGCAATTTTACACACATTTTACTTATCAAGCAAAGCTAAATTAAAATTAATGTAATAAAAATATCTTTTGAATTCCCAAGTCATATTACAACTTTTTAGAACCCCTCGTTTTTGGAATTTGAAAGTTGAAAAATTCAGCATGCCCTAGGTCCCACTCCCTGTTGCCGTTTGTTTGACTGTGATATTCAGACAAACAGATTATCCTCTTTGACTGGTCCTCTCCCAGAGGTTTGTACTGTAAACTTATTAGTTGAGATTCTTTCATTGCAAGGGGTTGGACTAGATGATCCTTGGGATTCCCTTCCAACTCTACAATTCTATGATTCACCAAACCTAAATTAAACTTAGGAATTAATTTTCCTCACATCTCATTTTTCCATGTTTCATACTCGTTTCTCTTCAACAATTCCAGTGTGGATAATACTTTAAATATTTCCAGTTGTTATTTTCCCTCCTTTCTTCCTTCTTTCTCCCCACTCCTGCTTTTTCCTTTAATCATGAAACAGATGTTTGGGGCTGCAGCGCTTTCTCTGAACTTCTGCGTACTTAATATCAGCGGCTTCCAAACCTTCTGCCTTCAAGCAATTCTTCCAACATTGGCTTTGCAGCTAATGGACATGGGACTGCATTTTGCCGGGGATTATGGGAATCCCGGAGGCTGCCTTACACTAAATCAGACCATGGGCCTATTAGGCTCAGGTCTGACCGCACTGACAAGCAACCGCCCTCCAAGAAAACGCCTTCTCCAGCTCTACAGGGAGATGATGGAGGCTGAACCTTGGACCTTCTGTACAACCAAGCATAAGAACACAAGAACATTCCTGCTGATTAGGCCTGGCCCATCTACTCTAGTCCAGAATCCTGTTCCTATAGTGGCCAACCAGATGCCTGAGGGAAACCCACAAAAAGGACCCGAGAACAAGATCCCTCTCTCCTCCTACTGGTATTCAGAGGCATTGATGTCTCCAACTGCAGAGGTAGAGCATAACCATCATGGCTAGTAGCCGTTGGTGGCTCTGTCTTCCATGCATTTGTCTAACCCTGTTTAAAGCCATCCAAGATGGTGGCCATCACTGCCTCCCGAGGGAGCCAGTTCCATAGTTTGCACAGTGTGAGGTAGTACTTTCTTTTCTCTGTCCTTTATCTTCCAACATTCACCTTCGTTGGATGTCCACAAGTCCTTGTGTTATGAGGGAGAAGAACTTTCTCTATCCACTTTCTCAGCGCCATACACAGTTTCATAAACCTCTACCAGGTCGCCTTTTCTCTAAACTAAAAAGTCCCAAACACTGCAACCTATCTTTATAAGGGAGTCACTCCATCACCTTTATTTTAATTTTTTCATTCATTCACCTTCATCATTTGTGGGTTGCCCTTTGAAACTTTTTCAACTCTGCAATATCCTTTTTTCGGTGAGGCATGTGCTTCCATGGAGCTACAGAAGTGTTCCAGAGCACATGTAGAGTTCAGGCAGGGCACAGTTGGCCCTTACTAGCACCATGAATTAAAAGCATGTCCTGCAATACACCCCACATCCCTACTACCCTTAAGTACAACTTGGTAGGAGACCAGCCATAGTCGACATGGGCCAAGCGATCATTCTGCTCCCTTCTATCTTCCTGGTCTCCTCGTGGCTGGGAATGATGGGAGTTGTGGTCCAAGGCATCTGGAGGGTGTCAGGTCGACAAAGGCTGCCCTATGAGGTCCCACTGAAATGTACTATACATTTCAAACAGCGTCCTATCACTTTAAACAGCAATGGCTTCCTCCCAAAGGATCCTGGGAGATGTAGTTTGTTAAGGTGGCTGAGAGTTGTTGGGAGGCCACCTATTCCTTCTCTCAAAGCTAAAATCCCCAGAGTTCCCTGGGAAGAGGGCCTGATTGTTAAGCCATTCTGGGAACGGTAGCTCTGTGAGGGTTATAGGAGTCTCCTAACAACTCTCAGCACCCTTGACAAACTGTAGCTCCCAGAATTCTCTGGGGGAAGCCGTGACGGTTTAAAGTGATATCACAGCACTTTATGTCTATTATGTGAATGTGGCCACTTATATCAGGAGTGGCTAACCTTTACTGACCCAAGGACCACAACGAGGGCTGGCCAACCCTGAGGGCTGTATGCCTCCTTCGCATGCACACACAGATGTGCATACACACATTCAGACGAACACACAATATTCAGACCCCAGCACTCTTTTGCTAATTAGCAAAGAAGAATGGAGTTCAGCGGTGGAAGGAAGTCCTTGCTTTACCTTTCTTCCCTCTTCTGAGGCTCCACCATCTTGGGAAACAGAAAGGAGCCCTTCTTCCTAAGACTTTCCTACAATAGCAGCACCCCAGAGGGAGAAAAAGGCCCCCTTTAGAGGTAAAAAGAGGCAACTGATTTAGAGACATGAGGTGTTTTGGACACCCAAGAAAGCCCAACAACAGCTAGCAAAGGGTGAGGAAGAAGAGCAAGCTGAACACAGATTAACAACAAAAATAAAATTCTTTTCTTTGCAAAAAAGGCAAATGTGGGAGGCACATTTGTAGGGGGCAGATATGACCTGTGGGTCTCCTACCCCCACACAGAAAAGCTTTTGAAGAACCCAGTTTGAAAGCCTCACAACCCAAATCTCTCACTTGCGTCGTTATATTAAGCATATTTATGCACTGGGCTGATGCTGTCGCAATAAACTTCAAATCAGCACCTTCAAATAAACATCCCCTTAGAAATCAGACAGCGGGGGAGAGTAATTAATCATATTCGTAGTTTAAATGATAAATATTTCAGGCCATGATTCTTTCCTAAAGGTCATTAAAGTATTCCACTCCATCTACCCCGGAACGAAATCACAGCCATAGTGCAGGCTATCTCTATTTTGGGTTTAGAGGTTTGCCAGAATCAATGCAAAAAACTCAAATTCAAAAAGAAATTGCACAAAAAAATTGAACACTTTATCCTTCTGAGGAGAAATCATATTTCCACATTGTAGAAGTAAAGGTCATGTATTATACATGTATTATCTCGCAGCCAGACTTTAACTGCTTAGGCAGAGACGAGGTACCTGTGCCCCTTCAAATGTTGTTGGGACTCCAGTTCCCATCAGCCCCAGCCAGCATGGCCAATAGCCACAGATGATGGGAGTTGTAGCCCAACAAGACCTGCACTGAGGGGTTCCAACACATTACGCACCAAAACAAACCCATGTTTGCTACCAAGTGTACTCTTGACAGTGATAGGGAAGCTGCAGACAACCCTGGCCCTCTGAGCAGTGAACCTATGTGATCTACGTTAGCAATCATGTGCCTGTCTCACCCATACGCTGCATGTTTAGGTACACACTTATAATGTGTGAAGCAGAACCTCTGACAGTCGAGGGCAAACATGGAGTCAGATCGACAGACCCAGGAAGACATTCACTGGAAAGTTCTTGCACAATGAACCTACAAAAAGCAATTGAGGATTTTCTCAACAGCACAGAAACCATGCACTGGGCTTGTGTAGGAATCTTTCTAACAGATTTATCCCTCAGTCTGCAGACCTGGTACCAATTTTGAGACCTGAAGGAGCTTCTTTTATAATGAGAGATTTGAAAGTTTTGCATATGTAGCTTCCTCTCTTTTCAACTGTGAGTCTCTGAATCATTATAGAGCATGAACCAAGCCTCTCTTAATTGCCATTACATCACAGAATCGGACCAGTGAAGCCGACATATTCTGATGCACATAAAAATTAAATCCCATCCATCATTCAGGTTTTTGGGGGGACCCCTAAAACTTAATCTAAACACCTTCCCAGGACAGCCTCTTCCCCAGAAACTCAGTATCTTGACAACAAGCTTTACAAGATAAGTGGGTCTTTAGCATCTAACCGCTAGAATGGTACACAACTCAGATATGTGCAGCAACAAACTTATGCGCAGCTTTGAAGAAGATGTTTGCCCTGAAAGGCACCAGCAAACACTACAATGCTGCACGTTTGCTTATTAATTTCTTTCGGACTTGTGTGTCTGTAAGAAAGTGCTTAGATGCAAAGATTGCACCTAAATGGGACTTATTCCCAAATAAACTGGAAGAACCAAGAAATGACAATGCAGTGGAGAATCGTCAACAAATTACTGTCTCTCAAGTCAACCTTGAGCACATTAATTCGCATATGAATACAATTTCTTTCAGCTGCACTTCCTTTTTTCTGTTTCTGAGCTCAGGATTACTGCAGATGAAACAGACTTGCAAATTAAGCTCCATCAAAACAATTTCAAAACAAAAGTGACTGGAGAACAAGCGAGCAAATTCCCACCGGTGACAAATTCACTGAAAAGGCACAACCGGAAAACTCTTTGCGAACTCTCTTTGGGGATGCCAAGAGTGTGCACACACCTGGGTTAAAATTACCTTTCAATGGGCACATTTATTTAGCTACAAAGCAGGGGTACTGGCAAAGGCGGACAGCAATCGCAACAGGTGCTTCAAACACAACGTTGCAAGACAGAAGGCAAGGAATGTATCGGAGGGTTCAATCTGGAAACAGCACAAGCACTTCGCAGTTTCCGATTCTACTCGTCTTACGGCTGAATTCCTGCTATCAAAGAGCGTTAAGTTCCATGCGTTGGACGCTGCCAGGAAAAGTGTTGACCTTACCTGGAATCTGGGTACTTTGTCAAGGTGGCCAGGCTACTGGTGTACATGTGTCCTCCTACATCAATGTGCACGGGGGCATTGGATTTGGTGAGCTGAGCTGGGAGAGGGATTCCTTGGGCAGCCAATGGAGAAACCGGAGACCGTGTTAAAGACAGCCGGGACATCGCTCTGCCTTCCTCCTAGAAGCCCCAACAGAAAAAAGAGAAGAAGAAAAATCCTCTTAAGCACAGCTGTGCTTTACCTTGATTCCAATGAGATCACAGATCTAATAAGATCATTTTTGCATCTGCCTGATCACATATTCAGCTAACAAATTATTGCCACCTTCGTAATTAAGTGTATTTGCATCATACTCTTCAAAGGACCAGCGGGCAAAGAGAAAAGATGCTTATTAGCAATAAGAAATCAAGCGGGGGGGGGGGGGATCTTTTTCAAGGTGTCAGCCTCAAGGGGCATAAAACAAACTGCAAAATTCTAATTAAAGGTCGCGGGCTTATGTGTTAGATGTGAAATATCCCCTGACAAACGAATAACCAATTTGTGAATTGGGATTCAGGGGTTTTTGCAAGTTTGTCTCAGTAACGAGACACCTCTAAATTAGTGACTTCCTCAGTACCTAAGGCATTTCATTTAGACATGTAGTAAAATTCGCATCAAACATAGAACATTTAAAAAAAACCAAAAAACTACCTACACAACACAACTACTAATACCTATTTTTTATCTAGAGGAAAAGCCTTCTAGCTGAAGAGGAGGCTAGAACAAAAAATGTCATTTAAAAAGTGACCACTGTTACCCTCTGTATACCATTTCCAAATATCTTGTGTTCTCAGCTGAAGTCATATATTACAGACCTATCTAGGCATACAGACAACAATCATGTTTATAGTCAGTTCTTTCTTTCTTTCTTTTTAAAAAAAGGAGTTTAAACTCAAAACTTTCTTTCCATAAATTTATTCACTAAAATTCAGATTTCTATGAAAATGTCAAGAAATTTGATTGCCCTCAGCCTTCGAGAGAATAACAATCAGATTTTAAACTTTGACAGACAGTAGGTACTTCAGTTTGCTTTAATGCTTAGAAGCTATTCCGACACATAAGTGCTATATAAATTAATAAATAATAATCTGGATAAAACAATACTGTCGCACATACAGGCAACCAACACAAAATCTTGCAAGGCATTCCAAGTGGCACAGCCTATAAACTTCATTTCTAAACACACACCCCCGCCCACTCATTACAGCAAAATATGCCAAATATTACAGCTATGAAACATTTCAGAGAATAATTTAATTGACTTGGTATTTTTATTTGCAGTCAAAACACAGAGCATCTATATTCTGCTAACATCCGACAGGCACACCCTATGCAATATTTCACAGTGAATTTCCATTTCTTACAGACTCCTTTGACCGTACTTCTCAGAATCCAAAGTCTCCCTTTTTAACATCATCGCAACAATACGACTAGCTTGGACAAAATCACCCCAACAGGCAGAAAACATTTGCTTTTCCGAATTGCATAGAAACTGACTGAAAAGTAATTTTGGGACATCGGTACAAAGAATATAAACTCCACGTTTAATTGACTGTTTTGCCACTCTGCCACCAGAAATACATCACCCCATTACGGATCCACATCCTTTTCTGTCTTGACACGCAGGAGTGCAGAACGGACATCTAACCTGAGCACTACCCCAAAGATTAGTGCTGTCCCAGAAACTTCAGCCAGTTGGCAGGAAATTATCATTAGCATTTTGACAATAGCACCACCTTCAAGGAGAGGGGCTGAATTCTTTAAAAGAGCAAATGTCTCTTGGTTCTTGCCCTGAGCCATCTTAAGCAAATATTTCACATCATCAACGGAACTACTTGCTTTCAACAAATAATTTCAGAGTGTCAGCCCCATTGTCTTCTGCCATTTCTTCCTGCTTGTAGGTGCCCCATCTCCCCAGATGCCTATAAATTCTCCCAACACCAAAAAAACACAATAAGCTCTTATACGTACTAGATTCCTGGGTTTAAATTTTTGGGGGTCTCCAGCTAGAAGCTTGATGTCAGCGCTGCCTGTCTTTGTTCTGACCCCAGCTAGCCTATTATCCCCTAATAATAGTGTTACAGGAGCTGCCTAGGAAGTCCCTATAACTAAAGGCAGCAATTTCCTTTGTGAATAATCACCGTTCTGCCTTCTTCCTCCTTCAGAATGAAATCTTAGCACAGAGAAAGCCCTTCAATTCTTACTTTGCAATGGTTTTATCTTGCAATAGAGACTTCTGCCAAGAAATGACAGCCGCTAGATAAAGGCAGAAGGCGCAGGCTGTTCCGATTTGCAGAAGCAGGATTCCCATTGAATTTACAGAATCAAGAGTGTAGTCCAAGTGTTCTAGCTAACCTACAACAGCAACATCTCTGTCTGAGGGTCCCTCATACAAAATATGTCTCCTTGGAATCAAGTTCTACTCTATGAGGCATAACCCTGGTAAGAGTGATTAGGACTGCAGGCTCACAGCTCCATCACAAGCATTTTTACTCAGAAGTAAGTCCATCTGTTTCCAATGGGGCTCACTTTCCAGCAATTTTGCATAGGGCTACAACATTAATTTCTCATCCTGGATGTCAACTGTGCAATCTAGCAATTTATACTATTCCCTTGCATGGCTCTGTGCACTGTTGCTGTCTCTCACTTGTTAGATGCAGAAAAAAAATTATTCAAGTCTGCAGTCCACAAAATTGAGCAGATGCTAATCTAAATCTAATGGGGACCCAGATCTGAATTCAGAGTGGACTAGAAAGATGGGTATGCAGATTACAAAAACACCACCCAGGTGTTTGTTTGTTTTTGTCACAGAAGATGGATATTATGAGTTGAACTGTAAACGTGCAACTGACTCTTTTGCTCTCATTCACTTAAGATGACATTTTTCTCAAGCACTGTATCTACACCAGCAAAAAGTATTCAGAGAAAAGGTAAATATTTTTGTATTTGTATCTAAAGAATGCACTGAAAGAATCAAACTGTCTTTTGGTTTACTGCTTCTGAAATGAACTTTTGACATATTCTGAGGCAGTCTCAAGTGAAAGTTTTTACAGAGTAATTAAGAATTGTGTGTGTGTGTGTGTGTGTGTGTGTGTGTGTATGTAAACTAAGCACACTGTAGTAGTTCAAATTATCCCTGTGTGGTTTGTCTACACAGGAAGAGGATCTCTGGGAGTTTGCTGAAGGCAGAGACACTGATTCACTAGGAAATTCTCCTGCACCAGCCCTGCTCGAAATGAATGGGCAGTCTTGCAATGCTCTCATTCAAAAGAAATCTCATTGGATGATGCCAATAACCAACAGACCTGATACCCAAACTGCCTCCATGTTGGTGTGCAGAGTAGCTTTCTAGCATCTCTCACCAGGATCTTCCAAAAGGCAGCTTATTTCTTCCCGCCTTCCTGTGCTAACTGCCTAAGTGCTGCTTGTAAAAACTATTTGCCCGTGGAAAGTGAAATAACCACCATCCTATGCTCATTTACACACAAAATGATTTTGTGTCCCATTGAGCTCACAGTTGTTCTGCTCTCTAGGGGTGATTAAACTAGCTAGGCTGCTACAGCTTGCAATGATTTCACCGAATCGCTTCCCCATGAAGTTGCTTCTTTGCTAAGCTGTTATTTTAACCATAAAAGGTAAACAGAAGGCAGTTGTAAGAGCTCCATTCAACTCCATGCCCAGGGCTATCACCCTGGGGCAGAGAATGCTGAAAGACTGCAGAAATTTCCAGGGTGTTGCCTCTGTCTTCATTCTCTCTCTCACACACACAAGCCTACAGGAATATTATTCATTTAATATACACTCTAGATGCTACAATTTGAAATCCTCCTTAAAAAAAAAAAACAAGACTTCAAAAGTGCAAAATAAGTTTGGGATGGATAAAACTTTCCCTTTTTTGTATATACACACCCTGGGGGGCCATAGTAACCAATACTGCTGATGATGGGGTGGGATTGTGTTTTTTTGGAGGGGAAGGGGAGAAATATATATATCTGTATACCTGAAAGCAACTGCAGAAACTAAAAGGCAAAGCAGGCAAAGGCCAAGGGAGGGAAGGTGAGAGGTTGCAAACAATAGGAAACTACAGCAAATGGTATGCAGGGATTAAAAACAAAACAAAAAAGGGGGAAAGCAGGCAAAGAAAGGAGCTCCAAAAGAAGGACAAAGTTTAAATCAAGGCACACAGACACTTAAAAGCCTACAGATGGGAAGCCAGACTAATTAAGGATGTAAAAACGCTTTTGTTTCTAAAGTTTATTGTTGCCAGGATAAAAAAAATTAATTGAAACTAATGCTGTTATTCACTCATGCAGTTTAATTCCTTCATGCCCATTTAAGAGATGAAATGAAAACTGCGGGTTTTTAAGAGATGCCTTGAAACAGTGCAATATACTCCCCCCCCCCCCCGCTCTTCTCTGGGATGCAAAAGGGACATCTTCCTTTCAGCCAGCCAGCCGCTTATCAAAAGCTTCAAGTGCATCCAAACTGCTCTGTGGCTAAGGACTAGAGTCCAGCAGGAATGTCTGCAGGAGTCCCCCTGGAATGAAGGGGGGCCTGGCACAGCTTCCCTTCCCACCTCCACCCCACTTTCAAGGGAGCTTGTGCAGGAGACCTTCCTGGGCTGCACCCCCTGCCTATATCAGATCAAATCTAAAACCTGCTCTCTGGACCATCCCTTTGTTGGGCTCTCTTGGTCAAAGGCAGGGCTAGGGCAGCATCTGGATATAAGCACCTTTTCTGCCCCCCAAAGTCCTTGTCCTCAAGAGCCTTTGGAGAATATTAGTGCTCCCCTCCCTTTTGCAAAAGTCTTTTAACCTTTCCGTAGAAAATGTGCCCGTGGGTTAAGACATAGAAGGCCTGGACACCTTTGTCTGTGCAAAAGATGCTCAGCTCTCCACAGTTGGTAGCCTTTAAAAACCCAGGGATGCAGGGGGTGGAACAACTGCACAAGCAGGGAGTTGACAGCTGAGGTGTAATCTGGTCATTAGGAGTGTGGAAGGGTGCAAGTTCATGGCCTCCTGTCAATATCTGCCTCGGTTTCTTTATGGGAGTAGATGGAGAGTTCAGCCAGAGCTATTGCTAGGAAGTGGCTTCCCTTAAAAATTTCCCAGCTCACTTAAGCACAGAACTTGGTCCGAAAGGTGCTTTCTGTCCCTCCATCCTATGTGTGCACACAAACAAACAGAACACACAAGCCTGCACTTTCCTCCGCAGGAAGAAGTTGCACGGGTCCCAGCTGAAACTTCCCTCTGTATTGAAAGTGCAGTCTTCTGCAGGCTCACGTGGAGGGCCATCCCATTATGTTGAATGGGCCCCCAGGTTAAGTTCTGTATCAGAGAGCAGCCTGGGGGGTCTTTAAGACTAAATCTCCGCACAAACTCAAGCAGGCATCCCCATCTACTCGCCAGCGTGCAAGTGGCCCAACACATCCAAACACCCCGCGCCGGTCTCCTTTTTGAGTGCTGGTCATCCTCTAAACAGCATTCAGGGAGGCTCGCTCCAAACTTTTGGCTTTGCCAAAGAAAAGCTCCCAGCAGTAGCGGGAAGCAAACAAACAAACAAAAATCAAAGAATAAAATTAAATTAAAAGAGCAACATGGCGGCTTTTCTTCTTTCACAGAAGCAGCAAAGCAGGCAGATGGAAGAGTAGTGTCCCCCCCCCTCTAGAAAGGGGAGCTCCAGCCCTAGAGCAGGGCTTGGGGAGCCCCGCGCGCGGCGTGTACCGACAGCGCAAACCGACGATCGCCGGCAGTCCTGGGCCAAGCCGGCTCGGCTCGCCGCCCTCTCCTAATCGCTGGCGCCAGACTTTCATTCACAGCCCGCCTGCCTGCCTGCCTGGGGCTTTGGCTCCCCCTCTCACCCGTTCCCTCCAAGCGCTTTTCCTTCATCATCCTCACCATTTCTTTGGCCTTTTGTGCAGAACCAGCCCTCGGGGAAGGGGGCTTCCTAAAGAAGGGACGCCCCCCCTTATCACCCAGCCGAGGAGAAAACGGAAAGCACTAGGAGCGCCAATGTTGCCCCCCGCCCCGCACGGCACTCACCCCCAAAGCAGCCGGCAGCCCTTTCTGGCGCCCCTCATCGTCACCCCAACCACCGATCCCCCCCCTTCCAAAGCCGCGGCGGCTGTCAAGGCGCGCTCGCTCGTGCATGTACCATTCAAACGCCGCGGGGGCCCCAGCGAGCGCCGCGCGCTTCCCTCCACGCCAGCCGCAGCTCCCTTTGCCCGGATCCTTTCCACTTCCCCCTCCCCCTTTCCACCCCTCTCCCCGCTTCTCCAGCTTGATGCTAGGAGGGCAGCAGCGAGAGGCGAGCAGCCTCGGGCCAGGGGGCTCCAGCCAAGCTGGCCATCATCGCTGCTGCCTCCTGCCTTTTTTGTCTTTTTTTTTTTTTAACGGGAGAAAAAAAATAATAAAAGGCAAAGCTACACACATACGCGCGGCCGCGCGGAACAAGCGCGCGCACGGAGCCATGCGTGCACACGCGTGCACACACACACACACACACACGGTGCAAAGGAAGGGTTTGGCTGGAAGTGTCACTGTAGCTTTAAAAAAGGCAACTGCACACACAAGACCCAAGATCCGAGTTGAGTTGCAAGAACCACTTGGGGAGGGGGGATCCCCTGCTTTGGAAGGCGCGCACGGTGCAAACCAAAGGAGGAAGCAGAGAGAGGGAGGCAAGCAGGAGGAGCCCGCTCGCCCGCCCGCCTTCCCCCGCCAGCCCGGGTCGCCCGCCTTACCTTGAGCGCAGGCGGCGAAGAAGAAACGCCGACGAGCTGGGCCAAGCCCCCCGTCCTCCGCGCCGCTCGCTTGGCAAGGCGGAGGGAGCTCGGGGCGCCTTTGTAGGTTCCTCTGGCTGAGCTGCCTCCGACCCTGCTGCCGCCGCCGCCGCGATGCAATATTATTGTAGATCTATTTGCCCAGGCTTCTTCTTCTTCTCCTCTCTCTCTCTTTTCTTCTTTTCTGTTTGTTTTGCCTCGTCTGCGCGGGGAGGGGAGGAAAGCGGGGTGGCGGAGGAGGAGGGGGGGATCGGGGAGAGAAGAGCCTTAAAACAGAGGAGCCGAGGCTGCTCGGGAGAAGAAAGGCAATAATCTCCTCTCTAAATAACGCGGGGAGAGGAGGGGGGAAAGGGAGGGAAAAAAGAAGGGGGAGAGAGAGAGAGAGAAAGGAAACCGCGAAAGGGAGACGGCGGCAGCAGCGGCTTCTCGCTCTGGGCTCTGAAAAAACGCCTCCGGCTCCGCCGCCACGTTAGGCTGCAATTAGCTCAGCCCTTTTCGCTCTCCTCTCGCCTGGGCTAGTTTCGCAGGAAAAGCCGATCTTGGCCCCAACCTTCTGCAAAATCTGCCCTCCCCACCGCCGGAATTGTTGTTGTTATTTATTTTTCTAAATTAACTCTTTCTGTGTCTTGCTTTAATTTTTAAAAAGAAAAAAAAATCCTGTTGCAAATCTGCCGCCTCCCCGTCGCACCGACTTCCCCCTGCAAAATCGCTTTCCCCCCCTCTCTCCTCGCGAGCACCAAGCTTTGGGTCCTGTGTCGAAATCTCGCCTATTTTTTTTGCTAACGGTCCTGCCTCTTCGTCTTTCTTGGCTGGGGGTGGGGGGGGAGGATAACGGTTTGGCGCCGCCGGAGTCCTCAGGGCCACGTCCCTTCCAGAGAGACTTTAGTGCAAAAGAAGGAAAAGGTGGGGGTGGGGGCGCGAAAGGGAGGGAGCGCGCGCGAGGGGGAGCGCAAAGCTGATTTTAATCACTGTCATTTGGTCTGATGTAATATTTCCCGGGGCATTTCCCAACTAGGCATAAATTTGCAGCTCCCAAATAAGTCAGGCAGGGCACGTTTTGCACATCGTTGGAGTCCTCCCTCGTTACAACGAGTGGAGCACCCGGGCCGCTGCTGCACTTGTTGATAAACTGGAGCAAGTTTTGGAGACGGGTTCTCCCCCCTTCTTTTAATTACAAGACGAGCTCAGCGATCGAGGGGCTCAAACGGAGAGCCAGCAGAATAAGCCTTCCCTCCCCTTTTCGATGACTCCTGTCTGCTCTTCTTTGGGGATCCGATTTTGTTTTATTCTCTCCTCCCCGACCCCCCCCCCCCGCGCCTCGGCTTGAAAACGCTCCCCCAATGCCCCGCAGGCCACTGGAAGCGAATGACGTCCGCGGCCAGGCATTGTGCGGCGGGAGAAAAGCGCCCTGGCAGGCCGCCTCGGGCCAAATGCGCCATTTCCATTGATGGCGCACGGCGAGAGATGGAGATGTCTGCCGCCGCCGCCGCCACCGAGGCTTTGCCCAGGCAGGCGAGCAGCTCCAGGGGCACTCCTGCTTCCTCCGGCCCGGCCGCAGCAGCCTGGCCGGGCCTCCTCCCTCTGCCCCCCCTCCCCGCCTGCTGGAAGCTTTCTCTCTCCGCCTCCTCCCTGCGCCTCCAGCCTTCGCCATAAACTTTGAACAAAAGCAGGTCGGATTGCGGGCCAAGCGTTTGTGCAGCGCGCTCCCTCCGGGGGAAACCGCCTCCAGCCCTCGGCGCCCCAATGAGGAGCGCGCTTGCCTCCCCTTGGCTGGCTGGCTGGCTGGCAGGAGCAACTTTCTGCCTGCCTGCCTGCCTTGCTTTTTTCCTAACATTCATGGCCTCCCAAACTCCTCAATGTGCTCCCGAGGAAGGAAAGAATGGACTCTCCATCGGCTTCGACGTGCGCGGGATTGCACTCAAGCCAGGCAAAAAGACTAATCTTACCCCGGGCTTCTCCCCCCTTCCAAATTATTGGAGAGGCATTTCTTGATAGAGGGGGTTGGCCTGGGAAGTTCCTATTTGACAGCCTGTACGTTGTCAATTTCACAGATATGAGCGCCATCCCTCCAGCCTTTCTTGCCAGTGATCAGTTGCAACTGCAGACGTTTATTTCCTCTCCTGGAAGGAACAAATAGGATCCCTGTCGGCCAATCATCCAAACTAAAACGCACATCATTCCCCACTGCCCCGCCCCCCTCCAGAAGTTCCCATTAACCACTTTTCCATGCGCACACATTCCAATTAGACCAAGCCAAACTGATGGGAGACGTGCGTCCCCACCCTCCGTTGCCCTCTCAAATTACAATGGTTAACTGCAAGTCTCCATTATTAGTACAATTTCTCCAGAATATCCTTCTTTTTAGCTTTACTGTAAAATCTGCACTAAGGACATTAAAATGTGTGGCAGTGTTATAGCATACAGCAGTTCAAGAAATTGACAGACATAACTAGGAGACCTCAATTATTCACTTACTGTATAGTAATTAAAATATGGGGGCAGAGAACTTTAAGAAAAATATCCATTTGTGTGTGTGTGTGTGTGTGTGTGTGTGTGATTCATTCTGACATCTGACATTCATTCATTCATCTAACCCTGGCTTCCCCAACCTGATGTTTTCCATACTGAGGCTGATGGGAATTGTGGTCCAAAACATCTGGAGGACAAAGCTTGGAAACAGTTCTGGTCTATTGGAGCACATTGCATCGCCTCCACCTTCAAGTATGTTAAGTCTCCCCTGTGTTCCTCTGCAATTCCAGGGAGTTCTGTAGCAGGTCTTACCTGGGATGTTGATCCAGAGGAAACTTTTCCTTCTCTTGAGATTTTGTATTACTGACTGCCACCACCTTCCCCAGTCTTACTTTCCAAATGTTTTTTTGACTACAGTGGTACCTCTGGTTACGAACGCTTCAGGTTACGAGCTCCGCTAACCCAGAAGTAGCTGCTCCCAGTTGTGAACTTTGCCCCAGGATGCGAATGGAAATCGCGCACTGGAGGTGCACGCACAGTGGGAGGCCCCATTAGTGAAAATGCGCCTCAGGATAACAATGGTTTCAGCTTAAGAACCGAGCTCCGGAACGAATTAAGTTCGTAACCAGAGGTACCACTGTACAGTAAGCTCTCAACTTACACGGGGTTTATATTCTAGGGATCATGCCTAAAGCCAAACTTGTGTATCGTCAGGTTCAATAGTGCGCTGATTGCCAAAAGTAATTTTTTCTGGAACTCTGCCCCCTTTCCACCCCCTTTTTATTTTTTTGGCAGGCACATAAAGCTGAATATGCACAAGTTAAATGCATGGAATTTCAACCTTACTGTATGTTCAGAGTCTAAGGTTCTTGTATTAATTTACAAAGCCTCAAACAACTTGGGTCCTGGGTACCTCAGAGATCGCCTGATCCCTTTTATCCCTGCTCGATCACTGAGATCATCTGCTGGAGGGTCTGAGTTGGCAAGGCTGACTTGACAACAATGAGAAACCGAGCCTTTAGTGTCATCAGCCCAGTCCTGTGGAACACCCTGCTACTAGAGATTTGGCAGGCACCTTCTGTGCCAACTTTTAAATGCCTGCTGGGCCTATTCTGCCAGGCCTATGCAGGCAATTAAGAACACATTCTTCTACAATGGTTAATTGATGTCTGCTTTTAATTTTTTATGGTTTTATTGTATGGTTTAATGTTTTTATCGCTGTAAACCTTTTTATTTTTTATTACATTGCGGTACACAAATACTTTTATAAATAAATTTTAAGAAATATGTCTGTTGGATTTAAACTAAGTTTAAACTTTAGCGCCTACTAGCCACAAGGAGGAGCAACTGCAGGAAAACTACGCAATCTCTCCCCCCCCCCCGCCATCATTGCTATTGTTCTGAAATGGCTAAGGAGAATGAGAATCACCTTTCCTGTTTCTAACTTTTCCAACAAAAGTCAAGGCCACATAATTTTGGTCTACCCACTCTTGGTTTTCCTGATGCTTCTCCTCATTACCAAGGGATACAAAGGAAAAGACGCAAAGCCTCTTTAAAACTGAGGGTTCAGGGTTTTTGTGGTTTTTTAAAAAAAGTTATCTTCTGTAACAAGGATAAACAGAAAGTTTTTTTTCCTAAGGGGAATTTATTTATTTATTTATTTCCCAAGTACAAACTACAGGAGAAGAGGGAAATTTTCTCATTAAAGTTACATCCCTGCAGTTAGTTCAATTACTTGATATATGCAGAAGATGTTGTAAATTTAAAGATTTAAATAGCTTACAAAGATGCCGGAGGCTCCATCAGTTAATTTCCTTAATTTATGGATTTTTTTTTAGTTCAGCTTCTGAAATGGGGGGGAAGAAGAAAAGAAAAGAAAAAAAAGAACTAGGTCAGTGGAGAGATTTGCATCCAGCTCAAGATTTCCCAGTTTGGTTCTGCTTTGTCCATCCCAACCAGCTCTGGGAGACAGCCAGTGGTCATCAGCTGCCCACTGACCTTATGAAGAGGACCAGTGGCCTCGCCCTCCAGATGGTTGGACTACAACTCCCATCATCCCTGAACACCGACCATGCTGGCTGGGACTGATGGGAGTTGAAGTCCAACAACATCTGGCAGGCCAAAGGTTCCCCATTCCTGCCCTAGAGGCATGACTTAAAAAGAAAAAAACCGCAGCACTCGAAGGCAGGATCCGATCTGAAACATGAACTGCATTCTGAACAGCATCGTGCTTGCCAGCAGATTCTTGGTGCAAATAGACAAGGCTGCTGATTTGGCCTTTCTGGGTCTTTTCTAAGTTTGAGATGGCAAAGCTCAGTGGTAGAGGAACATCTGCTTTGGATGGTCCCAGGCTTGATCCCCAGGGTGGGGATGGGGATGTTCCTTCTATGAAATCCTGGAAAGCCTCTGCTAATCATTGGAGACCAGCCTTGGCCCCCCTTGGCACCCTCCAGATGTTTTGGACTACAACTCCCATCAGCCCCTGCCCCAGCATGAGCTGTATTCCAATATATCTGGAGTGTTCTGGGTTGGCCAAGGCTGGTGTAAAAACTATTGAGCTGGATTGCCCCATGCTGTGATTCACTCTAAGCTAAGTTTCCTTTATACCTATGGGTAACATAGAGAAAATGGCCTTGGGCCAGTTTGGCTTCTACTTCAGGCTACTTATCTGAACAGCCAGATTGAAAGGGCGGCTACCAAAAAGCCACACTGAGATTTAAACTTTACAAGCGGTCGCCATCGGCACAAAAAAAGGAGGCAGCGATGGAAAAGAGATTTGCTTCCGATGACACGTCTCTGCCTATATATGCCACTTCCAAAAATTACATTTGCCTCTGTCGTACAAACTAGTAATAAAACAGTATTTTAACCCTCTGGGCGAGTTGATCTCACTTAGAATCAAGTGAACATAAACAGCTTTTGGACGCAGGAGCAGTTGGTTTTGAAAAATATGTGTTATGCAAAATTGCTTAGGTATTTGCAACAAACCAGATGCACAATAAAGGAGTGGGGGTTTTTTGCAAAAGAAAAAGAAAGAAAGTTGCTCAGAGAAAATGGTAGTTTGCCAGCTCTGCTTGAATCAAGTCCTAGGTCCGTTCTCTGATGGCATCTGCAGGCAGGGCTGGGAATGACCTCTGCCTCAAGCCCTGCAGAGCTGCTGGCGGCCAGTGTAGACAGCACTGGGCTAGATGGACCATGGTCTGGCTCAGTACAAGGCAGCTTCCTATGATCTGATGATGCATATTTTCCTGCAATACAAGCCTATATATTATTCTGTGATTTTCCTTTCTTCTGAGTCTGTCTGGGTCTTTCTGTGGCTGGGTTTCAGTACGTGCGAATACATACATATGAATTAAGACTTAAAAGACGCAATACAAACTAAATGAGACCAGGAAGCAGTGTTGCAATGTGATTCAGTATTGCTGTTTTCTGTCGGTAACATTTTCTTTTCCCACTAGATGAAGTTTCTAAGATTTGCAAGGTACATGTCAAGGACGGGTATATAAATGGATTTTTATTTATTCACAACTCGAAGACTAATTGCTTCTCTTTGCCTGAAGGCCAAGAGATTGGTTTTAATATGACACTTCAAAAGTATTCATAGAACTACAGAGATACTAAAGTGTCATTGTTTTAAGAAAGAAATCGCACTGTGGTACTTGTGACCCTGAAAAATAAAATCTTTCTCAAAGTGCTGTAGGTTCCCCCCTCCCCCTCTACCAGAGTTTAATTTAAAGCCCAACTATTTAAAAACTGTACAAAGGAAAAATATTAAATATTATGTCGCAACCATGAAAAAAGAAACCATTTTAAAAGGAAGCGTTACTTCCGAGCAGAACTGTTATGTCCTTTAGAAAATACATGCAAATTCACAATGACTTGAAACTTGTGATCTTAGCAGCAGAATATCACCATGAAAGATGTTATCATAGGAACATGATGTTTTTCTCCCCTTCCAAAGTTTTTTGCACTTGTATGAGGCTGTGGAATTGCTGTAAATAAGTTATTTCAGTGTAATGTAAGGTTTGACTTTAAGGACAGGATGAGGCCAGTATAGGTATATGTATAGTTAGTTGCACTCTGATCTTAAATGTTTGCATGGTTTTTATATTGTGTATACATGTTTGTAAACCACTTTGCTTTTTATTTTATTTTATGAATAGCACAGTACAAATATTTTTATAAATAAATTCTCTTTCCAGGAGCAGCCACTCAGCCACTCAGCCACTCACCCATTAAATTATGTAAGGGAAAGCAGTGATGAGAGGTTTCCTCTGCCATTTGTCCCCAGTACCTGGGAGCCAGAGGTCTAAGGCCTCTAACAGTAGAGAATCTCTCTAGACGGCATGGCTAATGACCTTTGACAGAT